TACCAGTGGCTACCAAACTCCCTGGGTGGTGCTTAATACTTGATGATGATGATGATGATGATGATGATAATAATAATAATAATAATAATAATAATAATAATAATAATGTCATTGTCACTCCTCCTTGTTGCAACTTTCAGAAAGTTGAATTGTCAGAGATCTGTGCCCCAGGCAGGAACATGCTCAATTCTCTTCCTTTCTCTTCATACCTATCTTTTCCTTCTTCCCTTTATCTCTCCCACCTCCATCCTGCTTCCAGACAAAATTCTATGCTCCAAATTTCTGTGTCACCCCTTCTCATCCTTTTCAGGAATCCTGTGGACAAGGTCCTCTGATCTTTTCTAGTATCTCCAGTCTTCCTCTTTCTCTTCGCTCCTTCCCCACTCAAACACGCACCTCACGACGGTCCTGCCATCTTCAAAATAATAGTCTTCACAGGAATCCACTGCTTATTTTGTGCCTCACGATCGCTTGGAATAGTCACAGTAGACTCAGACATGCCAACGATTGTGAAGATGGCGTCGTGCCAGCCAACCTTTGGTTCTGGTCCACGAAAGGTTGACTTGAGTTGGAACTGACTCAGTGACAACTAAGACAACGCAGTTACTCTTATTCCTGTCTCCACCCTTGACCTTGAAGAAGTGGCAATTTAAACCCACTGGCCACTTGGAGGAAGAAAAACACAGCAGTCTGTAAAGGTCACAACCTTGGCCACTCTGAGTCAGTGCTGCTCTGCTTTCCAGGGTGACTCTGAGTCAGAACAGACTCAACAGCAATTAGTTTGGATTTCTGGGCTCTTTCCACCTTTGGGAGCTGCCTCCTTTAACCCTTCCTCTGTTAAGAGCCAGGAGCAGAGCGTGTTACAAGCTCTCTCTGCTTCCATGACACCACCTTCTCCTCTGTCTGTAGTTTCTACCTATTTCTATCACAGAAACTACTGTGTTTGCATTGAGCCCACCCAGAAAATAATCTAGGATCATTTCCCTATCTTGTGACTCCAGTTTGACCATCTGCAGATTCCTCTTAACTCTAGAAGGACATTCATAGATTTCAGGATTTAAAAAAAAAAAACCCACAACGAAATAAAACAGCAAACCCATTGCCATTCTGTGAATCCGACTCATAGCTGACCCTCCAGCCAGTTTTCAGAGACTGTAAATCACACGGAAGGAGATTGGCCATCCTCCCCCCCTCAGAGCATCTGGGGGATTCAAACTGCCTGCCCTTGGATTGGCAACACAGCTTACCCACTGGCCACCAGAGCTCCTCTGAGTTTCTCCGAGGTCATCATTCAGCCTCCCTTACTCTGCATTCAGACATACCCTGCGCTCCAGTTATCTGAATTCCGCCAGCCCAGAATGCCCACGTCGACAAGAAACTGCTGTCTTGGTTTCCTAAGGCAGCGGTAACAAAGTCCCACAAGAGGAGCGGCTTTCTAAGGAGAGAAATGTGTTGTCTCAGAGTCCTGAGAGCTTTGGCATTGTTAGGGACCCCTGGCTTGGCTCCATCCCACAGTGGCCCTGTGTGCTGCAGAAGGATGCAAACCCACTGCCCGGCCCTGCTCCAGCCTCAGGCCTGTTGCTGGGAGGACCCACTGTTGCAGCCACAATGTCAAGCCATGTTGTTAAGGGACTGCCTCTTTTTCTGGAAGCTAGAAGTCTAAATTCAGTGTATCTTGTGCAGGGGCCATGCTAATCTTTTCTGTATTGTTCCAATTTTAGTATACGTGCTGCTGAAGCGAACTAAATTCAGTGTGTCTTAACTCTTCCATGTTCTCTCTGAATGGCGGTAGAGGACGATCCTTGTCTCTCCTTGCTTCTGGTTGACCCCAGGCTTTCCTTGGATTGTGTTATTAGGTTGTCAGGTGCTGTCAAGTCACATATACCTCCTAGTGACCCTGTAACCAACAGATCTGAACCTGCCCTGTCCTGTACCATCCTCATAATCTCTGGCACACTCAGACTCATTGTTGCAGTCACTGTGTCAGTCCACTTGGTTAAGAGTCTTCCTCTCCTTTGCAATCATGATGGGTGTCCTTCTCCAAGGAATATCCTTTCCTAGCCACGTGCCCAGAGTATGTGAGATGAAGCTTCACCACCCTGGTCTCCAAGGAGCACTCTGGCTGCACCCTTTCCAAGACATACCTGTTGGTTCTTTTGGCTGTCTGTGGGATATTCAGTACTCTTCTCCAACACCACAGTTTAAAGTAATCAATTCTTTTGTCATCCTTAGGCACAGACCAGCTCTCAGATGCATAACAAGTGATTAAAAAGACCACAATCTGAACCAAATGCAGCTTAGTCCTCAAACTAACATCACTGTCCTTGGTAATTTGGAGAGGTCCCTGACTGCAGACTTTCCCAATGTGTAGTGGCAGCATAACTCTGTGTCACTTGGCCATCTTCTCTGTGTCTCTTCTCCTCTTGCATAGGGCACCACTCGTATTAGATTAGGACCCAGGCTACCCAACTATGGCCTCCTGTTGATTTACCTGTTAACTTAGATCTTCTTGCTAAACAAAGTCTCACTCCTAGACACCAAGGATTAGGACTTCAGAACCTTTTTGGAGGAGTAGGAGGGACACAATTACATCTTTAACTCCATCTTGGTCCACTCCTAATGGATGATCTCCCCCTCTTGTGATGCCTTCGTCCTCCATCCCTCCCACCTCCACGAGAGAGAGGTCTGACAATCTAATTCCAAAAAATCCCAGCCATTGGAAACCCTGCGGAACTCAGTTCCACTGTGATGCGCATGGAGCCTCCATGAGCTGGAGGCCGCTCAGCGTCAGCCGGTCCCTTCTACACATATCTTTGTCTCTCACACTAAACTGTAGGTCCCTGAACACACGAGCCCCTTCGTTTCTCCTCCTCTTTGTGTAACACACTGCACTTTGCAGACATATAGTAGAAAGAGATTCTGTTCATGGGTATTTCTGTTCAACCTCAAAAAAAGAAATTTAGATGTGAACTCAGGCATAGCTTATCAACTCTTAGCCCCAGAAATGGGCTTCGGTTTCCTTCATGGAATATCCCTTCATGAGAGAACAGCATTAGCCTTCATCTTCCCTGTCTGCGAGTTTGTTGAGGCATTGTTTAGAAAGCAAGGGATTTGAACCAAATCGATACTTACCTCCTGTTTTCTCTCTGTAAGGGTTGCCTGTGTATCTGAAACATCTTCTGGAACATTATCAGAAAATTATAAACCAGACTGCAGAACTTCAGGTAATCTTACAACTTCTTTTGTCCCCCAATTCATTTAAGCTCTTCCTTGGCATGTATACAGTACTATGCTTCACTACTACCCAAAGTGTTTGAAGTTCAAGTCTATTCTAAGATAGCTACAAGAAAAGCTTGGAAATTTATGTCTGAAAAATGTGCCACAGAAAGCCATGTGGGGCACAGATCCTCTCTGACAGGCATGGAGTTGTCATGAGTCAGCACAGACGTAACAGCAGGTAGGAAAGTGGTGCATTTAAGCATGTTGATTCTGTTACACTGAGGAGTCAGGACGCTCCAAGAGGTAAAATGATGCCCCCACTTTGTACATGAAGAAGTCAAACAGGGTGGCGGGGGACTCCCAGAAGACCAAGGGCAAAGCACCTGTGCACCCTTGTCTGGCCTCCTGGGATAAGCACCCTGCTTGTTTTCCTCTGTCAAAATCCAGAGCAACTTAAATGTCATCAGATTTTGAAAATTGTGTTTATTAAATGCAGTAGAACTACAGTGCAGACTGCAGGATTACAAAGAGCTACAGAGGGCAGAAAGGCCAAATGATTTTTGGGACTTGTGTTACTCACATAGCTACTGCTATATATAATAATGCTGTCTATGAACAGGACACTTTAATAGCACGTGCCGTGCACATGGCTGAGGTCAGCAGCTGGGTGTTTCTACATCTTGGATGGCCCTACTCCTATGTGTCAGCTGGTGCTTGGTTGAGCCAGGCTCGACTCAATGGAAACAATTCGATTCTGGTCCAGGTGTCTCTCCTGCTCCAGCAGGCTCGCTTGGACATCTCGCTGTGGTGATGACAGAGGCAGAAGAGAGAGCACGCCCAGCCATAGAGCTTTTGTCAGCACAGTGTCTATGTCATATCAGTTAACATCCAGTGCCTCAAGTTGTGGGCCTAGATTCAGTGAGGGCTACCTTAGCATAATGCATCATGGATAGAGAGAAGGCAAAGAAGTGGGGCCCCCATGTAATCAGCCAGAGAGACCATTTAGTCCAGGGTCAGCAAACATCCTCTACAATATAGTAAGTAACTGAGACTCACAGGCCATGCAGTGTCTGTCACAATTAATAAGCCCTGTCATTGTAGAGCGAAGGCTATAATAGTACTATGCCACGATAACTGCCCTCTAGAATTTAAAAGGTACAAAATCAGGCTCTCTTACAATGAATTTCTTCTCAGCTGACAATTTTGTCTAGGTTTTAACAACTAAAGTACCAATTAGTGTGAAACTAAAAAAAAAAAATAGATATCATGCCAATGAGTAGGCATAGTTGTGTTTCAACTAAACTTTACTTACAAGACATAAACCAGTATAAAAGAAAAAATTTATTTTAAAAATAACACATTTACAGAAATCACAGTGGATGAGATTTGCCTATGGGCAGTAGTTTGCTGATTCCTAGTGTAGATTGTTCTTTTTATCTTACTTTTAGGGATACTGAAACCTAGAGAAGCTAGGTGTCTATTTTAGTGCTACACAGCTAGTTGGTGGAAAAGTCAAGACAAAAAAAAATCCCAGGCCTCTTCACTCCTAACTCAGTACTGGTGAAGCACGTAGAAGGAAATAGAGCTTGAGATTCTGTCTCAATCCACAATCTGATTCTTAACCACTATATGCTCTGCTGCTTCGCTGTGCATCACTAGGACAGGCGTTGTTTTTCTATGTGCAAACCTCTGCCCCTTCCAAAGGTAAACAATGGGAAGAAATGTGGACATGGCACTTTAGTTTGTCCTGTCCCTCATCAGGTCCGATTACTTCCTTTCAGGTCACGATCACCAGTCTACAGGAGAGACAGCAGACTTTGCTGCAGGAGAAGCTGCAGGAGCATCTGACAGAAAAGGAGACGCTGTCCCGGGAGAGTTTTGAGCAGGAGGAGAAGCTGAAAGCCACGATCAAGCTGCTGACCGAAGAGAAGATGGTAAGGTGGACTTGGTTGTTTTCTTACTTCTGGAAACTGACGGAATTACTTTTTCTAAAAGAAACTAGAGTCACATACTTAGATCTGTAACAATGGACTCACACACAGCAGGGCTTGTGAGGATGGCGCAGGACCGGGTGGTGTTTTGTTCTGTTGTACACAGGGTGCCTCCGAGTCAAAACCACTCAATGGCAACTAACAATGACAACTTAGAAGAATCTCAGCCGTTCCTGGTTTGGTGCCATGGAATTAAATTAATTAAGCAGGGTGAATAATAAATTTGAGAAATTAATCTGAAGCTGAAATCGGGATCAAATCCAACATAAAAAGACAGGAGTATTAAGATTTCTAAGGAGTTTGGACATACAGAGAGCTCTGTTGGCCTAATGGATAGAAAGTTATGCTACCAAGCTAAAGGTGGGTGATATTAATCTGTGGCTTTCAGGCTTGGTTTTAATTGGTTTTGATCAAATATTTTTCTAAGTTGCATAGCACTGGTCTGTCCATTTGCTGTACAGAGGTAACTCGTGATTGCTGTGATGCTGAACACTGTGACACTGATGTGTCAAATGAGATAATGGTTACCCACAGTAGACAGTGTTTGATGGAGCTCCCTGATTAAAACAAGCTTGGAAGCAGGAGTGGCATCCACTTCCAAAATAGCTTCTCTCCAGAAACCCTATGGACTTGGAGAAACGATGAAAGTGTTCAGGTCTTTCATTCATAGGGTCACTATGAGTCAGCTACAACTCAACAGCACTTAACAACAAGGAGATTAGAGGCACAAATGGTTGATCACTTGACAATGAGCAATAATTCTGGCAGTTCAGTCTCATTTTGGAAGACAGGGCTGGTGATCCGTTTCTCAACAGTCACGCTGTAAAAACCCCATGAAGCAGTTCTACTCTGCAACACAGCATCAGCACGGGCTGGAATTAACAACTGACAACCCTGAACTTTCTGGAATTGTGCAATTCTAGGTCATTATTGTGGGTCTTGGTTTGCAACTATTAGACTTTTGGACAACATCTAAGTATATACAAAACCAGCTTCATAGGTTTCAGGGATGTCAAAATGCTACAGTCACTGCCTCCTTTTTTAGACCTCATTCCAGTTCGAGGACACCTTCCAGAAGTCCTTCTCAGATTGGAAGATGCCTCTGAATCACCCAAGGAGCTTGTTAAAATGCACAGTCTGACTCACTAGTTCTGGGGTGAGGCCTAGGATTCTGCATTTCCAACCAGCTCCAGGTGCTGACTCCACCTTCACAGTAGTCAAGTCCTCTTGTTAGTTGCCATCAAGTCAGCACTAACTCATAGCAACCTTGTGCATACTAAAATGAAACATTTCTCAGTCTTAGAAGGAAGTTTGTGTTTTTTTTTTTAAAAAGTGCCTGATAAAAACCGCCTGGGAACTTGTTAAAACTATGGACTCTTGGGCACACTTCCAGCTTATTGAACCAGAATTTCTGGCCAAGTCCAGAGTCAGCACTTAATAAACCAGTTCTCATCATCGTCTTAAATTGGTCCTTTTTGACACTCAAGGACCTGCTATGAATTTAACCACCTTTACCACCAACTTTGTAGGTGGTTTCACCTGCACTTTTATCATGGAAAGAGATTAAAATATATGGATATTGCCACCCCCCACCGAGAGGTGCTGGTCTCACAGGTGTGAGGGTGCAGCCTGAGTGCCGGGTCTGTGAACACCCCCAGAGATTCCAGGGACCCACCAAAGTTGACAAGCACAATTATGAGTGGAAATGCGGGCTCATTTACATGTCACCCTCATGACTGTCTCGCCCAGATCCTGGACCCTCCCCAGCACCTCTCTTCTGCCCTTGTTGGAGACTCAACCTGCTGCTTCCACTGTCTTTTACTGTTTGCAGCACAAACGCTATCAACTCAGTCCTGCACTATCACATGCATTCACTCCCCACGCTTCTGCCTCCCTCACTTCGGTCTCCTAATTTATGTTCACTGACTTCAAGAAATCTCTCTGCAATGTCTAGCTCTTCTTCTCCCTGAATCTTTCTCTGCCTTCCTGTCTGTTGTCAAATAAAAGATTTTAAAAGGAAGGACCATCTGACCAGAATTATGTTGAATCTGCATCACAGTCTAATTCACCAAAGCTGTCCGTCAGAGCTGCCAGTCAGTGCTGGTGGCAGAATGCATAACATATTGCACTAACAGAAGGTCAGCAGTTTAAAACCACCAGCTGCTCCTCAGGACACAGAGAAACATTTCCTCCTGCAAAGATGTACAGCCTTGGACACCTGATGATGGGTCACACTCAGTGGCACCGGGCTTCAACAAACAGGATGAGTGTATTTGGAAGAGAAAGCCAAAATCATTGACATCAAGTCAATTCCAACTCACAGCAAACCCGACAGGACAGAGTAGAACAACCCCGGAGGGTCCTTGAGGCTGTAAATCATTACAGAGCAGCTTGTCTTCTCCCACAGAGCAGCTGGTGAGTCCAAACCATGACTTTCTGGTTAGCAGCTGACTACCTGCACCACCAGGACTCTTTGAATAGCGAGTTAGAAATAGAAAAAGGTGGTGTCAATCCACCAGATGCTCTACTGGAGAAGGAGGGGCAATCTCCTCCTGTACCAGTCAGATTCGATTTGATGGTACACACACACAAAATAACATTTTTTTAAAATAATAAAATTTTTTTAAATAAAATAAGAATTTTAAAAGGTGGTGCCAATAAATAGTAGGAGCAGGGAACACAAAGAACCTTGAAGCCTTGTCAAAAATCTTCACCTACTCCCTCGCTCCTGAGTTATTTCCCTCATTCGGCATCTTTTTTTATCAACTTTTGGGTTGTGTTTTGCATCGTTGATATACAGTGCTTATCATGTGTTCCCACTGGGGACTGTCTTTCTCTCCTGGCTGCCACCTGGTTACCCCCAACTCTGGGAACTCGTGGTGAGCCCGTGCGCACTGGAAGAAAATGCCACATTATCAGGATTATGAACTGAGTACTGTGACCCGTAGGGTTTTCGTTGGTTGATTTTTTCAGAAGTAGATTTCGAGACAGTTCTTTCTAGTCTTTCTTAGTTTGAAGGCTCTGCAGAAACCTGCTGAACATGATAGCAGCCCACACGCTTCCACTGACAGAGGGCCGGGGGCTGTACGTAAGGTGCTGAACCTGTAGTATCTTGTGTGTTTAGAAAGAATTATACCACTGAATCATGACTGCTTCTGGCTTTTTATAAATTGTGATTTGAATAAAAGTTTACAAGGAAATTGTTTTCCACTCACTCATTCATACAAGATTTCCCTTCCCTTTTCCTCCCTTTTCCCTGCCTTCAACCCAGAATGTGTGTCCTGTTCCTGGTTGCTAATTGCAGTACTCATGGTATCTGTTCATCCATTGATTTCAGATTTAAGGGCCTTCTTTTAGTTTGTGCTACTCTTACAGAGAGGGGAAGCAACATCAGGTACATACACAGTCAGAACATGACCCTGCTTATGCTCAGTTTTGCCCTTGGCAAGGGTCACCTGAGGCAATTCAGTTGATCAGCTTGACCTGAGGGACTGACCTGCAATCACTGCCTCAGACATTAGTTCCAGATGCTCTGATTTTAAACAAATCTTCCTCATACCCAATGACACCCTTGTCAAAACTGATTAATTAGGCTCCCTGTCATGCATGCTGATTTGAGAACTTTATTTCACGCATTAAAAAATTCCACTTTCCTATATCAGTCCAAGAGGAATTATAATAGTGCTGTGGTTAAGTCATTTGACTGCTAACACAAAGATAAGTGGTTCAAACCCACCAGTCACTCCACAGGAGAACAATGAGGCAGTCTCCTAAGCCCGAGGGGAAGCTCTCTTTTGTCCTCCAGAGTCACCATGAGTCAGAATCAATTCTACGGCAGTGGGTTGGGGTTTAGCAATCTAACATTCCTTTTTTTATTACAAACTATTAACAGTACCTGGCTTGTGCACACATTAATGGTTGAGTCAGTGAACATTTTCCATAAAGAGCCAGATAATAAATAGTTTCAGCTTTGTAGGCTCGTTTCTATTACAGCTGCTCAACTTTGCTGTTCTAGCACAAAAGCAGCCATCGACAGTACATAAACAATGAGTCTGGAGGTGTGCCAATAAAACTTTATTTATAACAATCAGGCAGCAGGCCAGATTTAGCCCATAGGCCACTTATTGCCAGTCTCTCTGGTTTAGAGCACAGGCTGTGGAGTCAAAGGAATTAGGGTTTAAATCTCTGCCCCTGTGATTCTTTAATCTCTGTTAATGGGAAGCCACTGTTCTGCTATGCAACCCAAAAAACCAATACTGGGAAAAGGGGGTAAATAGAAAAAGCAAATGTTGTCTTTTATATAGGAGTGTGGCTGTCTTTTAGAGGATCTTCTTTTATCCTGATCCATGGCCATTCGATACCCTATCGATTTGGTTTTATGAAACTCCAGACATAGTTAATGCTGTTCACATGTTGTGGCTTAAGGGGAGTCACTCTCAACCACAGACTACAGGGACAGATAGGAAAGGGCAACAAACAGGCTTTAGCTTGATGACACTGCTGTGCTAAGAAAAAGCTTTTTTGTTTCTATCAAGATATTTTTATGGCTATTATTGCATCCATTAATTATAAAAAGAAGAGTCCCTTTGCCTGAGGTATCATGAAGTGTTAGCTTTCTTTTTATTGTTGATTGCATCTCTAAGCCTATTACCTCATCTTCAAAGTAGAGATGACAAGAGAGTTGGCCTGCTTTTCTCACTCTCCCCTGCTCCCTCACCCCCTTCCTCCCTCTTCCTCCCTCTCTCTCCCTCTAGTCAGAACTGACTCATAACTGACCCTCCATTGGGTTTCAGAGGCTGTAAATCACACAGGAAGAGATTGCCCATCTTTCTCCCTCAGAACTGCTGGTTGATTCAGACTGCCAGAGAGGCATGGTCTTTGGGTTAGTAATTGTATAATGAGCAGTGGTGACGTAAGAGTGGCTGAGTGTGACTTCTTTCCACTTCATAAAGGGGAACTTTAACCATTGATAATGTCCATTACACCATACAAATAACTGCAAGGTTGTGCTCCTGCCCCTATTTGTACCAATCATTGGGTTCAATGTTCATTGCAAGGCTCACAGAGTTTATTCACAGTTATAGGGTTTATTAGGGAAATAGGTTGGAGAGTAGGGGAGGCAAATAATATCACACAATGCAAGTCCAGGCTGAGTCCAGCAGTCCCAAGCCAGATTAACAGCAAGGCATAATTTTCCTCAGTTAGTGAAAGACAGTTTCTCAATCAGTGAAAATCTAGGTTCAGTTCAGCAGCACTATTGCAAAAAGCCTCTGGTTTCCCCAGTCACCCAGAAAATCTTACCTCAGAGCAGTTACAAGTCAGCTTTTCCTTCAAGCAAAATCTTTAAGTGTTTCCTTTATCCAGGGTTCCTCTGATTACTCCTTGCCACAGTCTCTTCACCACCATCAATGCCATTTTTTACAGTGTAGAAAGTATTGAGACATTGGTCTCACAGCTGTAGATGATTTGCAAGACCGTATGTCCACCGTTAAGGCAGCTAGAAACCATGCCTCCTGAAACAGGCTGTGCAATGGCTTAAAAAAAAACTCTTTTCAAGGGTTCTGACACATCAGTAATGTAACTCCCTATAGGCTGGGCTAACACATCTCCTTAAGAAATGGCTTTATATTTGGGGGTAGGGGGTGGGTTTTGGGGAGGTATGGGGGGATTGTGTACCAATGAGGGAGTTTTTCTTTTGCTTTTCAAGGAGAGGAGCAAACGGGGGGGGGTGTTTGTGCGGGGAGAAGGGTGCAACAGTGAATGAATGGAATTCCAAAATCTCTGTAGATGTTCATTGAAATGAAAAATAAACAAACTAAATAAAAAAAAACAAAATTATTGAGGTAAGACAATAAAGAAATTCCCAGTTCAAAAAAAAAAAAAGAAAGAAATGGCTAATCCTTACCAATACAGGCACACCTTGAAGATATTCTGGATTCTGTTCTAGATCATATAATAAAGCAAATACTGCAATAAACAGTCAGACATATTTTTTGTTTCAAAGCAAATATAAAGGTTATGCTTACACAATACTACAGTCTATTAAGTTTGCAGTAGAATGACGATGCAACTTGAAATACTGTGAGACTCTAAATGAGTGCGTGCTGTGGGGTGAATGACACCAACAAACTCCATAGACAGGTTTGTCACAAGTCTGATTTATTTTAAAAAGGCAAAACCCAAGCGTTTTATACTCATTATCATATATACTCCTCACAGCAATCTTATGCATTAAGTGTTGTTATGGTCTCCATTGCACAGGGAAATCAGTTTCTGTAATTTTTACTTGCCTAATGCCAAACTCCAGTCCACAGGCTTTATCCCTCGGGCCATACTGCCTTCAGCATCCCTGTGGGGCCACTGTGCGGAGTGAAGAGCTAACCACAGAGATTCTAACTCCTGCCACAGAGACCGTGTCTATTAAACAATGTCATTTCCTTTCAGGTTTTGGAGGAAAACATTATTCAAGAGAGAGCCAGAGCCAAGGAAGCATTAGAGGGAGAACAGAAGAGGTTCCAAGAGCTGGAGAGTCACTTGACCTACCAGAAGGAGGTATGCAGCCATTCCAGGCTGAGGGTCCCCATGGGAGGCAGTTCTGAACCACCAGTGTAGATCACAGCAGCAGAGCGGTGCTGGAGTAGTTTGTCCTTGAGTGGGCTCAGCTGCTTTGGAAGGCTGAGAGAGTTGAGGGCCGAGGAGTCGTAACATTGACAACCAGGTGGGGAAAAGTAATTGGAATCAGTGTAAACTCCAGTCACAGGGCTTGGGAACAAGTTGGGCCTGGTGATGTGGAGGATATGCTCTGCAGCACAGAGAAGAAAGAATTCTAAATCACGGAACTTCGGGGAGGCACAAAGCCTTCAGCAGCATCCTAAAAGTGTGCAGCATTTACCTCTACCGGCAAGGGATTTCTCCAAGACACACCTGTCCACTTCAGCATGGGTGCCTTCAGTTAGCTAGAACCTCTTCTCTTAGCTTGAAACCTTTCTCCTTAGAAAGATCTCCTCTGCCACCTTCTTGGGCTCCTGCAGAATACATTCCCTTCCCCTAGGTGCAAAAGATTCTCTGATGCTTGCAGATAGAGGTTCTTACCTGCACCTCTTCACGCCCGAGTCCCCTTGCTTCTCCTTGTTTCTCCTTAGGGGCTTCCCAGGCCTGGAGCCTGACCTTGGTCTCCACCTCTGAGCCCCTCAGCTCTCATAGATTGGGAGCTCACTGACTGAAATGGGTCTGCTGTTGATGTTAGGCGCCATCGATTTGAATACAATCATGGCAATCCCATGAACAGATCTGAACCTGCCCTCTCCTACGCCATCCTCATGACCTCTCTCACGCTCAGGTCCATTGTGGTAATCACTTGTCAATTCATCTTGTTGAGGATCTTCCTTTCTTTCTCTGATCCTCACCTTTCCCAGCTTGATGTCTCTCTTCAAAGACCAGTTCCTCTGCAGTATATGCCCAAAGTAAGTGAGAAGAAGTTAGTCCATGGCATATTCAATATTCTTTGCCAACACCACAATTCCAAACCATCATTTATGTTCTTTGGTCTTCCTTATTCATTTTCCAACTTTCAGATACATAGGCAGCAATTGAAAAGACTATGACTTGGGTCAGGTGCACCTTAGTCCTTAAACTGACATCCTTGCTCTCTGAAACTTTGGAGAGGTCCTTGAGAAGATGTCCTCAATGAAGCATGTGTTTTGATTTTTTTGACTGATGCTACTATCAATGTTGACTGTAGGTCCAGCCCTGGGGAGCCTAGAACAGAATCCTCTCCTCCCATGTCAAATAAAAAATGGTGTGCTTCTATTGAAGTGTCCACTAATAGATGAGTTTTAGGAACTTCCCATTGTATTGTTGACTGTGGTTAGTTAGGTCACCTGCAGATTCCCAAGTGGTTTACACAGATGATGTCATTAATTCATCAATCCTGTTGCAACACAAAGGAATTAAAAAAAAAACAACACCACAAACACAGACTTTGCAGCCAAATGAAACACAGGTGCAGATCTTGTCTGGGCCCCTTACAGGCTGCAGCAAGTCTGTCAATACCTGCCTGGATAAGAGGGTGGCTGTGGTGATGAGAGATGATGTGTACAAAAGTGTCTGGCCCAGAATTACTGCTTAATCTGTGGTGATTAGTTGCCTGGAGTTGACGCAGACACGTGGTGAGCTTACGTATAGAGGAACAAGCTGTTGCCTGGTCCTGCACCAACTTGGTATGTTTACATTCACAATAAATGAGAGCTGTTATTATTTTCACTTGATTCACATGCATCAGAAAATACAATAGTAAGGAAGACCGAAGAAGACTTGATATCTTTAACTCGTGATGTTGGCGAGGAGTATTGACTGTCCTTGAGACTGCCAGAAGAACAAATATGTCTTAGTACAACCCAGGTGCTCCTTAAAAGCAAAGATAATAAGACATCACCTCACATACTTTGGGCATGTTGCCAAGAGATAAACTAGGAAAGGACATCCTGCTTGGAAAGGTGGATGGTGACGGCACCAGTGGTCTTCAGCTGCAGAGGTTGCGAGGGCGGTACAGGATCAGGAAAGGTTCCAGGTGTCTGTTGTACATTGGGTAGCTATGAGTCGCAGTGGACCTTGACATTATTCTCATTGTTGCTTCTACATCTGTTTGTTTTCTGTCAAGCCTGTTCCATCCTCACTCGGAGTAAAATCTTTGCTCATCAATCACTGATCTGATCAAGAGTCTGAAAATGTTTACATGTGGGCTCTTACTTTGAGTCTCCAGGTCCTCAGGAAATGTCATAGATCTGCCCTCTACAGCACTCTGTAAACATTGTCACTGAAGTTTGCCCTGAGTGACCTTGCCAAGGATGGAGGTGAGAGGAGGGTCTTCCAGGAGTCACTGAAGCCAGATGGTGCCCAGAACTGGGGTATAAAACCATTGAATTTAGACATTCTTAGGCCATGAGGGATTTCAGCAGAGATATTTAAGGACAGCTGGGTGGGGCTCAGCCTGGCCACCCCAGGTCTGTTAAAATGTCAGCCCGTTTGTCCCTGCACAGACCTTCCTCACATCATTACCCTTTGGGGACTCAGAGATGGTCATCCCAGACACAGACTTTGCTCAACCTCGGTTATTTGCTCTTCCTTTCAGTAGACCTTCCAGCTTATTTCGGACAGATCTAAGCATATCCCACTCAGTAGGTAATAAGTACGGTTTTGAGGGAATTCTGAAGCCCCCATCACCTGCCCAGGGCTGTGGAGAAAAGTCACTGAGGATGATAGGACCTGAGAGGTACATGAAGATGGCGGGGACATCAGATACCAGGGAACCGAATCCAAGTCCAGGACAGGGCCTGGGTGTCTCCTTCACCACTTACAGGAAAACATCTTACCTGAAACCTGCCTCAAATGTTAAAAATTAATATTCAAACTCCCTCCAGCCGAGATGTCTCTGTGTTGTTTGGGACTAGCATAAGAACAGCAGGGTCCTGTGGGGGTTGCTTTTGGGGGTCTTCTTTTACCTACTTTTATTGCAAACTATTCTTTCAGCCATATTACAGAGCCACTGGTGGTGCAAATGGTTAAGGTGCTCAGCTGCTAATGGAAAGGTTAGAGGTTCAAATCTACCCACAGGAACCTCAGAAGAGAGGTCAGGTGACCTGTCACCATTGCAAACCTTACTGACACAGGTCTAGCCTCTGTGGTGATGAGGGCTCATTATTTGTTTTCGATTTGGTTTGGTTTATTAATGTTTTGTACTTTTTGTAGGCTAATCTGAGACCTTAACCACTAGTTTTCATGGAAACCATGCCCCACTTCTAAAATATATGGCAGGTAACCCAGTGTTCACAGCACAACTCATTGCTTTCTTGCAGTGCCTGGGATAAGGGCCTGGCTCACGGTTTACACCCTTTGGTCATTGGCATAAAGCCACTTCGCTGAATAGCTTATCAGCAGTTGATTTCCAGATAGAATCCCTTGACTATGGGCACCAAATACTAACTACGTTTCTTCCCGTAACTGTACCAGATCATCACTGTTGAAGGTTTGCCTCTCCTAGAAATTGGCTTATTAATTCAGTGCACTGCCCTCTTTTAAAGTGTGATTCATTTGAAGAGATTTATGTCAATAATGGGAAATTCCATTATTAATGAGATGCTCCTTTTTATCAGAGAGGCTGCCCGGCACAGTGAATAATAGGACAGGCTTGGCTCCCTCTGCCCTCTGAGTCCTTGCTGAGTTCTCCCTGGGCAGACAATGGACTTTCCTCTGTGCAAGGGTCAAGTCCTGGCCTCACCACTAACACAACAGGACATCGGGCCACTCGCCAACTTTTGTTCTGTCACCCTGTGTGGTTCAGAGCAGAGCTACCACTCCACAGGCTTATTTAAGAGCTAATTTTTCAGAAGCAGATCACCAGGGCTTTCTGCCCACACACATCTCTGGGTGGAGTCAACTCATCACACTTTGATTTAACGTCTGAGAGCACTAGTCGTTTGCGCTGCCCGGGGGCTCCCTAATATAGCTGAAGTACCACGTGTTTTGTGGCAAAGGTAAGTTGTAAAAAGGCTGACTGTTCCTCACCTATTAAATGTCTTCCCTCACAGCATCTGCTGATAGGGCCGCTGCGAGCCAGCCGCATGCTGTTTGTAAAGTGCCAGTCATGAGTCCTGGCGTGTCACACCAGCTCCCATCATTAGAGCTGTTACTATTACCATCATCTTTATGCACGATTTCCTCTCTAAATGTGCAAGCACCAAAATAATTGGTTCTTAACTTTCAGATTTTGGAGAAAAACATGGCCTATGAGAAAAGGAAAACCAAAGAAGCCATAGAGGCAGAAAGGAGAAGAGCCCATGATCTGGAGAACCACTTAACCCAGCAGAAGGAGGTATGAGGAGCAGAGACACCAAGGGGGTGGTGCAGCCAGGGCTGGATATGAGGCCGTGTTTCCACAACCTGATGCAGAGTACAGCAGAGAGGCATGTACAGACCAGAGCCAAAGCCTCTCTTTGAGGCTGTCAGTATCTGCCACTTACTAGATCTATGACTATGTTGCTGTTGTTATGTGTCATTGAGTCACCTGCGACTCATAGCAACCCTATGCACAGTAGCTCAGACCGCTGTGCCTTCCTGAGCCAATCACACTGTCTCCAACTGCCCCTACTGCCCCAGTCACTGTGTCAATCCATCTCATCTCATCTGGGGTCTTCCTCTTCCTACATTGTCCCTACACCTTTCCAAGCATGATATCCTTCTCCAAGGACCGGTCCCTCCTGACATCGTGCCCAGATGTGAGATGAAGCTTCAAAATCCTTGCCTCCAAGGAGAAACTTGGTTTTGCCCTCTCCAGGATAGACCTGTTTGTTCTCTGGTGGTCTGTGGTATGTTCAGCACTCTTCAGCACCACAACTCAAAGGCATCAATTCTTTTTCTGTCACGCTTATTCATTGTCCAGCTCTCTGATGCATAGCAAGTAATTGTGCAGACCATCTTCTAACCCCGGATCTCATCTGTAATATGAAAATGCTAGCAATCCCTACTTCGTAGGATTGATGTTGTTGTTGTCAGGTGCTGTCGAGTCAGTTCTGACTTTTGGTAACTATCTGTTCAAAGAAAAAATGCTTCCTGACCCTGCGCCATCCTCCTAATCCTTGCAGGCACTGTGTCAGTCCATCTCCTTGAGGGTCTTCCACTTTTTCACCAACCCTCCAGTATATCAAGCATCAAGTCCTTCTCCCTTCTGATAACATGCCTAAAATATAGGAGATGAAATCTCACCCTCCTCACTTCTTCCAAAACAAATTTGTACATTCTTCTGGCATCCCACAATGCAATGATACTTCACCAACACCCTAATAACTCAAAGGCATCACTCTTTCTTCACTATTCATTATTCACTGTCTGTCTTGCACATGCATATGAAGCTATTAAAAAAAAAACATGACTCGTATCAGGTGCACCTTAGTCCTCAAATGACGTCTTTATTCTCTAACATTTTAAAGAGGACCTTTGCAGCAGGTCTGCCCAATTTGATCTCTTGTTTGATGTCTTGACTGCTGCTTCTGCAGGTGTGGTCTGTGGGTCTATATATAAAGTCCACAGAGAGAGAAGAACACTTGGTTAGAACAGTGCCTTGCACATACTGACCTTCTAGGTGCTCCTGCTGTGGTGAATTTAGCGATGCCGAGGCCCAGCTGCGTCCAAGCAGAAGCCCTGGTGGCAGTCCCAGGTCGGTCCTTCAGCCAGTCCTTTGCATCATCAAAAGGTTTTCCTTTTGTGGCTTAGCCTAACCATGGCAGAACTGGCTTCCTGCTCTCCCAGATATGCCAACCTTGGACTGGCAGATGGATAAAAGTTGCAGATGTTGTGAAATAAAAGGGAATAAGTTCATACTATGAGATTTTTTTCTTTTTTTGTTTTTTTTTCTATATTTTATTAATTTTCATAAACATTTACAGAGATTTTGGGTTTCCATTCATTCATTGTTGCACTATTCTCTCTACCCTCCTCCCAGTTTGTTCTTGTCCAAATGCCACAGTGCTTGTCAAAGCCAGTTCTGATTAATCTTCTTTGTCAGTGTGTCCTTTGCCATTCCCTATCACTCCTCCCTGAGAGAGACTTCACCCTGAGTCATAAGGAAAAGGGGATGGCGTATTCTCTTAGCTACTTCCTGCTGAAAAGGGACACTGTGGGTTTCAGGGTGAAGATCTTCTCTCACTACTCTAAAGGGCCCCTTTGGCAGTAGGAAACACATAGACTATTATGGAGATTGATTTTGGAATTTAGATGCACTCTTATTGATTGTGCTTGGCCGTACATGTTCATATCCTTGAAGATGTATCATGGGGGTGTTGCAACCTAGAAGACACAAATTTGACTAACAAATTATAAGTACATGAGTCCAAAAATTATGGAAAAGTAAAAGAAAAGATTCTTTCATTGTTTTACAAACCCTCCCCCAGGTCCCCTCCACCATGTAGCCCTCGCTCTAGTCTCCTGTGATGACAGAAATACCTAGTTATATATCTCTTTTAGACAGTTTTCTCCCTCCTCTGTTTCAGTGCAGTATACATTATTGAACCCATCTTACTCAGTCTCTCCCCAACCCCAAGGACAGTCCCATTCTACAACAGTGGCATCATGTAATATTTGTCCTTTTGTGACTGGGATATTTCACTCAGCATAATGTTCTCCAGAGTCAACCATTTTGAATAATATTGCATGAGTTCCTTGTTTTTTAATGCAGCATAGTATTCCATTGTGCGAATATACCACAGCTTCTCTAGCCATTCGTTTGTTGATGGGCACTTAGGTTGTTTCCAACTCCTTGCTATTGTGAACAAAGCTGCAATAAACATGGGTGTGCATATATCTGCTTGGATGTCAGCTATGGTCTCTTCAGGGTATATTCCCAGTAGTGGAATTGCTGGGTCAAATGGTCATACTATGAGATTGTATTATAGTCACATGAGGTAAAACAAGAAATAAGTGCTTTCTGGGATGAATGTGAAAAGCAGTTTCAAGAAGTGGATGGAATTGGAAAGGGGCCCTTGAACCGAGGCCCAGGCATCACATCCATATTTTTGCTCCTGGCTGGTCTGAAGATGGGGCCCACCAGCCATACCTGCCAGGAGCAGCCCTGAAAGGCAGGCCCAGGCCAAGCTGAGAAGCATCACTCAAGGTTTGTCTGAAAGCGCAGGTCATGCTTGGGAATCAAAGAGCCAAAGAAATCTGGAGGCCAGGGGTACATGCGCCCGTGACCTGCAATGACCCCCCTCCATGCACCAGGCAGCCGGGTCCCAGGCAGCTCAGACACACATGGGCCCTCATGGGAAGTCCAGACACAGACCTGATGGTCTAATGAATTATTTCATTCTGTTTATTCATTCATCCAACAAAGATTCATTGAGTGCCCACATGTGGCTCTGCTCTGGGTTCCAGGGACATCACAGTGGACAAGTCAGGTCATGTCCATGTCCCTGCACTCAGCTCCCATTATAGCCTTGAGACAGACAAGCACATCTCTGTGTGTGTGTGTGTGTGTGTGTGTGTGTAAGAGAGAGAGAGTTGCTTTAGAAAGCTACCAAGACTATAAGAAAGATAAAAAGATAACCAGAGAAATAGATGAGAGGGTGGGATTAAAGCAGGAATGAGCTGGCTGCTAAATGGGGGATAGAGGAACAGCAGGAGGCAGATAGAGCAGGCGAGGTTAGGAAGGAGAGCACAATAGGCTAAAAGTGTCAATTCTGGGTTCTGATCCCAGCTCAGCACTAATATGCTGTTACCCTGGGCAAATCTCTTGCCTTCTCTGGTCCCTATCTACAAATTGGGTATAGTAGCAGGATCCCCCCTTAGAGGTTAGATATCACATGTCACCATGGTCATGCATTTGAAGCACCTGCTCAGCGTGTGGCCCAGAACAGGTGGTACTGGTTAAGGCAGGGGACCCAAGCACGTGCTCCTCAGAACAGCCCTCATATGCACATAAGCTGGGGTGGGGTCTTACTAATCAGATTCCCAACAGGTAAGGTGGCAGACCCTGTGCTCCGCCTGCCTCCAGGTAAGGTGCGGTTAAAGCAGGTAAGTCTGGATTCAGGCCTGAGTCTGGAATGGTCAGTGCAGGGACACTGGCTTGGATAAGCTTTTGTTAGCGGTGTGACTTTGAGATGTTATTTACCTTTTCATTGCTTCAGTTATGGCCTCTGTTTCCTCATCTGTAAAATGGGCATAATTGTACAGATCCTTTCTCAGGGCTTGATTAGAGGTGAGGTGTTCATGGCTCAGTGCATAGCACATGGTGCTCACCTAGAAATGTTTTTAAAAGTAGTTTTCTCATCATTACTCTTTTCTAAAATACCAAGCAGCATGACTGAAAAGGGCAGGCCCTCTCCCTGCTGCATGCAGTCTATGAGAAGGAGCCTGAGAAGAGGGGTTGGGGTGTCCTCTGATGGCAGATGAGACCCAGATGGCAGGGTGGAGGCTAGGCAGTCTCAAACAGACTTAGCAGTGGAGTATGCCCTGCCAGGTGGGGGCAGAACCCAGGTGACAGAGTCAGGGTGGGTTGAGGAGACCCCCAGTGTGGAAACCAGGGTGTAGGGGGCAGAGGGCAAGAATGTGACACTAAACTGTCCTGCTAATGGAAACATAATTTTTTCTCCAGGGCCACATACATTCCAAACCTTTCCCCAGCTCCTTCATTAAAACATCAGCACTGGCCTTCCAAGAAGCTTAGTGGGTCTTTGCAGGGGGAAAAGACAAGTTAACATTTTTTGTTTTATTTTTTTTTATTTTTGGCAGCAAGGAGAGATCACTAAGAAAAATTGAGAAGTTACAGGCCAGTGAAAAGAGAAAAATAGAGATTGATATAATCCCAACTTCCCTAAAATGACCATAGAGGGTGTGTGTGTGTGTGTGTGTGTGTGTGTGTAACTGTGTGTATGTGGATCTCCAGTGGCCTGCCAACCCAAAGGCTTGGGTATTTAATTCTATGAAAAAAGCATGTTGTTATGGGCCGTAGAGTGGGAACCAACTCATGGCTGATCCTCCATTGGGTTTTCAGACCACCAGAGTTCCCTTATATACATATGTATGCCTGTGAAAAAGCATGTTGTTGTTGTTGTCGTGTGACATAGAGTTGGAACTGACTCTTTGCTGACCCTCCAATGGGTTTTCAGAGGCAGTGAATCTCAAGATTTCCTATCCTCCTTCTATGTATATGTATATCCTCCTCCCATATGTATGTTGTTATATATACATGTTGTTGTTGTTGTTGTGTGCCTTCGAGTCAGAACCCATAATGACCCTCTAGCAGGTTTTCAGAGGCAGCAATTACATGAGAGGAGATTGACCATCCTTTTCCCAGGGAGCAGCTAGTGGATTCGAACTGTGTACCTTTGAGATTGCAGTGTAGCTTCTTACCACTAGAGCGCCCTGTATATATGTATATGTATGTATATATAGATATTATGGCTGTTGAATATCATTGAGTTGGAGCTGATCCTCCAGCATTTTCAGAGACAGTTAATTACACAGGAAGAGATTGCCCATTTTTGTTCTGCAGAACACTTGGTTGGTGGATTCAAACCTCGTACCTTTGGGTTGTTGTTGTTGTTGTTGTTGTTGTTGTTGTTGTTGTTAAGTGCCATCAAGTCACAGACAACTCATAGCGACCCTATGAATGAAAGACCTGAACACTTGTGTAATTTTCATCCTTTCTTCATGTTCATAAGCGTTTCTAGAGACAAGCTATTCCAGAAGTGGATACCACTCCTGCTTCCAAGCCTGTCCCAATCGGGGAGCACCACCAAACACTGGCCACCCTGGGGAACCATTATACCATTTGACACATCAATGTCACAGTGTTCAGAATCACAGCAACCACAAGTTACCTCTGTACAGCAAATGGACAGACCAGTGCTATACCACTTAGAAGAAAGTTTGATCAAAAACAAAAGCAGGCCTGAGGGCCCCAGGCCCAAATGTGTTTTTAAATAGGAGGCCAATCAAATCAACTTACACCCATTAACGAGTCAACATTCCATCCTAATCCTCACCAGAACCAGCAAACAAATCTCTGTAGAATCAGCTGCAGCAGACGACTTCCAAACTGGATTCCAGCCCCATACTGCTGACCAAAGTGTTTTTAAAAAGGAGGTCGAATTAAATCAACTGACTATATATATATATATATATATATATATATTCACATACATATGCACATATAGCTCTCTTATTGCCATCAAGTCAGGACCAACTCATGGCTGACTGCTCATTGGGTTTCCAAGGCTGTAAATTGCAAGGGAAGAGATTGCCCATCTTCATCCCACAATGCTGCTGTTAGACTCAAACTGTTAGAGCAGCACGGTCTTTGGGTTAGCAGCATAACTTCCTGCACACTGTGACACCAGAGCTCCCTGTGGTTGTGTGCATGTTGATGTTGTTATGTGCCATCAAGTCAAGTATAACTCATACCAAACCTATACACCATAGCTCTGAACCCTGCCCTGTCATGAGCCATTGCACTGTCTCTGACACACCTGCCCCCACTGCCACAGCTCTTGTGTCAATCTGTCTCCAAGGTTTCCTGTCCTGGACCAACCCTCCACCTTTCAAGCATGATGTATATATACATATATCCTCTGTGTGTGTGTGTGTGTGTGTGTACACATACATGTATATATAGACTCCCACATATATATACACATGTATATTATACGTACACACATACCGAGAGAGAGAGCCCAGTTTAACACTTTTAACATGTATAATTCAGACACAAATTATATTAATCGTGTTGTATAGTTATAACCACTAATACACCTATTATGTAAATCTTTTTCTAGTGAACTTTCACTTTACATATTGAATGTGGAGGTATAACTGCAAGAGTTTCAACAGTTGCAAATTTGGTTGGCTCTTTGTGCTGTTTGTTTTCAACTCCATCATGACCACTTACTGCCACAGGCTTTAGGAGTTAGGTCAGGACCTCAAGCCTTCTCCCTGTCCCCAGGTCTACAAGATACGCTTTTCCGGCTCCGAACTATCTTGGGTATAAGTTTTGGAAGTCCAAGCTTTTTATAGCCTGGGGAGATCTCTGTCCTTTATGGTCACAGGTACCAGGCCTGCTGGGACAGGACGTATCTCCTGGGCTTCGGCTCCCCTGTTCCATCATCCAAGGGGCCAAATGTTTCTCCACAAAGACTACATAGGTGTCAGGTCAGTGAGAGTCACTTGACCTCAGTGGTCACCAGCAAGTAACGTCTTGAACATTAGCCCAGAATTCCAGAATGATGAGTAAATAATTCTGTCCTGTATGCACGTGACTAACCAAGCCTTGACTTCCAAGTTCTCCCCCATGGTGGGCATGAGACACTCACCGCTCTCTCCAAAGGGTGTCTTGTTCCTTAAGCTCTTACCTCCTAACCCTGACTCACTGGTTTCCAAGTTTATGAATCCTGGCTTCCTTTCCCTTTTTGTGCCCACCTCCTCAAATCACTTGTTGTTGGATTTCAGATTACAGAGATCAACATGGCCTACGAGAAAAACAAAGCAAAGGAGGCCCTAGAGAAAGAAAAGAAAAAGGTGCAAGAACTGGAAAACAGCTTAACCAAGCAGAATGAGGTATGCTTTTCAAAGAGGGAAAGATGGGGAGTTGCCCAGTGTGGATAAGCTCTCGAATCAGGCAACCTGGGTTCAAATTCTGCTTCTGCTGTTCTTTGCTGTGGGGTATTAGGCAAGTTGCTTGCTGTCTCTGTGTCTTAGATAATACAGCCTCATCAAGGTGTTATAGAACGTGATTACTAATGTACACAAGAGAACGTGTAGAGAAGTACCTGGTACTTAGTGAGTGCTGCATGTTGGTGACTTGTATTGTTATTATTACAAGTTCCTAGCCAGAAAGTGAAGAGGCATTTTTTGAACCCAAGATTGTGTCACTACAGAGCCCTCGCTCTTCGTACCTCTCTGTTCTCCCATCAGCTTTTTGCGGGCTCACATGCCTGGAGGGAGAGAGGAGCTGTTAAGGTGTGAGTGCGTGAACTTCTGAGCACTTTGGAGTCCGTTTCACATCAGATCTTGTCATCAATTCTGTCCCTTTCATGATCATCATGTGCTTATTACTGTTTACTGCTGTTACGAGGGAGCTCCCATGAACCAGTGGTTAGGAGTTGTGCTGCCAACCCAAAGGCATATGATTCTAATCCACTAGCTGTTCCTCAGGAGAAAGGTGACCAGTCTCCAGCCATGTAGTTGGCTGCCTCTAAAGGCCCACTGGAGACCCAGCTATGAGTTGGTTCCAACTCAGTGACATAGAACAACAAAACATGTTACTGAGAATGTCAGATGAAGTAGCAGTAAAGGTGGTTGTTGCATATAATCCCGTCCTGTGTCTCAGAAACAATAGAACCTGGTTTCTTCTTCCTGGGAGCCAACAGGAACATACACACACACATGCACGCACACGCATACACACAGAGTACACACTACCTCAAAGCCAAAGCGGGTAACAAACTCATAACCAGCAATAATGAGTAGAACTTCAGTGTAGATGAATAATATTTCACAGGCTTTTAAGACCAAAAAACCCACACATAAACCCACTGCTTTCAATCAAGTTCAACACATAAATTTCTGAGACTATGATTCTTTCCAGGATGAGCCTTGCCCTTCTTTCTTCTATGGAGCCACTGGTGGATTTGAACCAATGACCTTTCCATTAGAAGTGTGATACATAAAGCAATCTATGTAAGGAGTTCCTCTTTCAAGATCATCTGGACCTAAGGAGGTCTTTTAATCTATTCACATCAGTCCTGAAACGTTTTCTTTGGAGAAAGGTTCTCAAATATTGGCATGCATTATAATAGCCAGAGAATTTCTTTAAAATGCCTACTCTTTGGGGTTCACCCATAGAGATTGTGACTTACTGTTAAGTGTGTTCAGGAATTAGTAAAAAGTAGTCTGAATGACTGCCTTTGTCTGGAAACTGTGCTAAAATTCGTCCACCATGGCTGACCTGCTGGTATTTGAGATACTGGTGTCGTGGCTTCCAACATCATAGCAACACCGAAGTCACCACAACATGGCAATCTGACAAACTAAGATAATCTAGGAAGAAACACCTGGCAATCTGCTTCCAAAAAACTAGCCAGTGAAAATCCAGTGTGGATCACAACAGAATGTTATCTGCTACTGTGCTAAAGATAAGCCATTAGGCCGGATGATACTAAAATTGCACAGCGGCTACAACAAACAGACTCAAGCATTTTAATATTGTAACGGTGGCTGGGCAGCATTTCATTTGATTGCCTGAATCTGAACCAACTGATGGGAACAAACACAACAGTCAGAGCAATGCTAGCCCCGTGTGAAACCCACTGCTTTGGAAAGAATAGACTTGGTTAACAGCAGCTGGGTGACGTAGCAACCCTGGGCCTTGCCAAACTGCAACATGTCCAGAAAAGGCAGAGAAGAACCTCAGTGACGTGATGCACGACTCATCAGCTCAGCGCTGACCAACTTCCGGAGCAGGACACGGTGTTAGAGGCCAGAGGGGAGCAAACACATTACACAAAGCCTGGTTTCCCCAGATGACTGACCACGGGCCATCCAGGAAGTGCATCAAGCGTTAGGAAGAAAGGAGGAACTAAAATTTGAGAAATAGTTGAATTGAAACAGAAAGTGGATCAGGAATGAGATAAAAGGGGTTTTTTGTTTTTAGGCTTTTTTTCTTTTTTTTATTAATTTTAATGACTGTTTGCATAGATTTTGGATTACCATTCATTCATTGTTGCGTTTTTCTCCCTGCCCACTCCTCCCCCCCCCCCCCCCCCCCCCGGTTCGCTCTTCTCTTGAAAAGTAAAAGAAAAATCCTTTCACTGGTATACAATCTCCCTCCCACCCCGAGTACGCTCCACTATGCTACCTACATTCTGGACTCTTGTCATAACCATAAAAGGACTTTTTAAAAAGTCAGATCATGAAATCAAGGAGTCACAGTGAAAAGGCGATCCCCATAGATTATGCAACTCGTTAGATAAAAACGCGCTAATTGGACCAATCCTGGAACTAGACCCAGAGATAATCTTTCCCAGGGTGTCTTATAGGGTGCTCCGTAAGGCAGCAAACAGTGTCTTCAGTTACCGAGGAGCAACAGTGAAAGCAGAAGGTGAGCTCTTACAGCAACTCTCAAAGTAGCCTGGGAGCATACAACGGGCAAGGAGGAGGAGAATCCCGCCCAGAAACTCTGCATTCACCAGCCAAACCAATCTAAAATCCACTGCTGTTGGGTCACTTTGGTAGAACTACTCAACGGGGTTTTTTTAAGGCTGTAATCTTTTATAGAAGCAGACTGCTACATGTTTCTCTTTAAGAGTGGCTAGTGAGTTTGAACTGTCACCCTTTTGGTTAGCAGCCAACCACACCTCCAGGGCTCCTTCACCACACACCCAGCCAGATCAAAAGAATGCAAGCTCAAAGAACGACTCAGGCTCAGGCGTAGAGTTGCTTATTTGCAAGCTGTTTTTCTTCTACATACGGAAGAACAATTCAAACGTTGATTTTTATCTACACAGGCCAAAATAGGGTTTGTGTAAGAGAAAGAGGAGAGAGAAGGCAAAGAAAAAGAATTTCAGACTAATGAGAACTGTGAACTCAAGTCTCCTGATCTTGGGTAGATAAGTCAGGAGCTGGCAAGGAGCAAAGATGCCAGGCAGCCAGCTGTGTCCTCCACCAGCTGCACAGCCCATCAAGGACGCTACGTCCACTGTGGATTCTCCAGGATGTTGGGACGTCTTGCTGTGACGTGTTTGTGACAAGTTGCTCTGGGAGGTGGCTCCAGTCACTAATCAGCATCTCCTGAGGCCAGCTCTGCACATGGTCCTCATTAAAATGTCTCTGCACAGGCAGGGATGTTAAGGCCATGAAAAGGACTCAGATGGGCTCAGGGAAGGAACAAAATGGGTGAGGGAGGCCCAGGTAGAGAGCCTCAGGAAAAATAGGACGAGAATAATATTCTTTTTTCTTCATGAAAATTAATTTGTTTTTAAAGTGGCCTTTTTTTTTTAATGATCAAAGGAGTACCTGTTTGTTGTAGAGAATTTGATAAACACAGAAGACCATCCAGAAGAAGGTGAAAAGTGCCTGTGATGCCTCTGACGGAGTTCCCTCGAGGGATGTCTGGATGTGATTCCTTCCCGTTGCCTTGACATAGTTGTCATCATCACTCCCTCACTCGCTGCCTCTGAGGAGCTTCTGTCTCAGGGTGGGGCCTCCAGCAGGTTTCTGAGGCTGTAAATGTTTCCAGGAGAAGACCGTCATCTTTCTCACAAGGGGTAGCTGGTGGCTTTGAACCACCAGAGAGACGCAGCCCTTGGGAGCAGAACAGTGCAGTGTGGACTATGCCTCTGGAGGTCTTCAGGAGATGTTGATAAATATTGATTTGCTACAGAGTCAGTGATGTGGGCTTCCTAGAGAGGACACAGTGCTTGGGAAGCTGTGTTTTAAACTTGGTTTATCATAAAAATGTCCCCACAGAACATTCTTCCACAACCTGCCAGTTAAACAGCCTGTGTTTGCTCCATGTGAGTAGACCCTCCCTCCTTGTTTTACACTCATCCTGTTTATTATTTAGTACTATTTTTTTAAAGACAGAATATATTGTTGAGTTATTTAGTACCATAGAGTCAGAATCGACCCATAGCTGACTCTTCAGTGGGTTTTCAGAGGCGGTTAATCACATGGCGGGAGATTGCCCATCCTTCTCCCACAGAGCAGCTGGTGGCCACGAACTGTGTGCCTTTAGAAGTGCAGCGCAGCTTCTTGCCATTAGGTCACCAGAGCTTCCTAGGATTATTCCTAACTTTCCACTAGTACAGAAAATACTTGGAAGAACAATTAGGGCCACAGGATAAATTCTTAGGAATGACTACAGAGTCACAGGGCACCTATGATACACAGTCAAGATTCATGATGTTGTTGTTGTTGGTCTTTTAAATTGGCCCCAAACTCATGGTCATCCCATGCATAACTGAATGAAACAATATCCAGTCCCATTGTCTGTTGTTTCCATTGAAACCATTGTCTATCTCCATAACTGGTTAAACCATTGTGACTCACAGAGTTTTCATTGATTGAGTCTCAAAAGTAGGTTGCCAGGCCCTTCTTCCTGTTCTGCCTTAGTCTAGAAACCCCATCTGAACCTGCTCAATATCATAACAACACATTAGCCTCCACTAACAGGTGAGTGGTGACTGCATTAGATGCAATAGCTGGGAATCTAACTTAAGTCTCCCACCTGGAAGGCAAGAATTTTACCATTGAGCCACCCACCCCACCAACTCCCTTAGAGTCATAATACACATTTCCCAGTGATCTTCCATGAAGGTTGTACTGATTTACCCTACCAACAACACAGTCTTAGGGTGCCCAGTTCCCTATGTCAATAATACATTTATTATTGGTTAAGTAATGTTCATGAACTCTCCGGATCGATGCCTGCATGAAGCCAAACCACCACTTCATTTAAGGAGAGACTCAAGGAGAATAGAATTTTGACAAAGATTATAAGAATGAGTCCCAGGAGGTAGAGTGAAATATGTGAAAAGTAAGGTCGCTGGAGTCCATAGTCCATTGGGCTGGAAAAGAAAGGTAATTCTGGTGCCGACACTGCAGAGGAAGATAGAGGAGTATTCTGAAGGCAAATTCTGTGATGCAGGGCTGAAGGAACCCTGCACATTCATCCTGGAAAATAGATTTAGTGAGAGACTTGACAGCCCTCCTCAAATATTTAAAGGACTGTCTCATAAAAAAGAAATAGAACTTACTCAGCGAGGTGGCAGAACTGAGCTCAGAGGCCAGAAATCACAAGCAGATTTCAGCTGAATATAAAGAAGCATTCCTCTATGATCATTAGAACCTTCCAGAAAAGGCATGTGCTTTGCACTTGAATAGCATGGTCAGCATGATAAAGAGCAGAGATTTCACCTTCTGTCAGGATGGGGTGAGGAGCAAAAAATGTTTATTCCTGCATTTCTGTTAATTTGTCATTTACTATCTGTTTAGGAATTAGAATTAAAAACACAAAAAGAGGAAGCGTTAAACAGTAAGTTGAATGATGCCCTGGCCATGGTGGAAGAGACCCAGAAAGCAAAGGCTGCCGAAAGTCTGAAAGTGGAGAACTTCCAGATCAGAGTCAATGAGACATTAGCAGAACTGGAAACTACCAAGACAAAGATGGTAAGTGATGAGTGGTGACGCGGTCAGGACTGGAAGGGCTCTCCTTGATGCAGATGGTGATGAGGTTGTGAGAACGTTTGCTCTGGACCAGGGTTCCTCACCCTGGCACTGTCGCCATTCTGGCTGATAAAGTTTTTGTTGCGGGACTGCCCTGTGCGTTCTAGGATAGTTAACAACATCCTGAGCCTCCACGGGATAACTGTCAACAGCCTCCAGCTGGGACAACCAAAGTTGTCTCCAGGAATTGGCAGATGTCCCCTGGGGAGTCAGGTTACCTGCTAAATGAAAGACAAGCCGATGTACGATCTCTCCAATGTGCTCTAAGTACAGGTGGTTCGATGCAGTGCAGGGTCTTTACAAGATCAGGCAGAAGGACTGAGGAATGCCAAAATCCAGACATCATTAAGTCCAGATAGGTCTATGGGCAGAAAGTCCATAGCCCTCCAGATGTTACGATAGTGTTTTAAAACTTCAGCTTGACTTTCAAGGCCCTTCACAACCAGGACTTGACAGTGCATTCATCTTGCCATTCCTGCCTTCTACTTGCAGGTTGGTGGGGGGAGGCAGTAAAGGGAATTAAGATGCCAGATGTGCACATAGTGGACTTGAGAGAGGCACAGGAAAGACCTGTGTGGGATGTGACGTGCAGCGGCCATTGCTGTCGTCCAGAAATGCCAGGCCTTGGACAGTCAGAGGGACGGAGGAGTATGGAGGAAGGAATCTCTGGAAAGATCCAGACACACCTCATTTTCTTGTGTTTCACTTTATTGTACTTTGCATATTTTTTTTTTTAATTGGAAGTTTGTGGCAACTCTGCCCCAAGCAAGTCTTACCACGTCATTTTTCCAATAGCGAATGTTCACTTAGTGTCTCTGTGTCACATGTTGGTGATTCGCTCAGTATTTCAAACTTTTTTATAATTCTATCACACATATAATTGTCTATGATATGTTGTCATGCCGTTAGGTGCCATGGAGTCGCCTACGACTTATTGTGACCCTATGAACAGTTCAAAATCCTGCCCTGTCCTGGGCCATGCTCACAATCTCTGCCATGCTTAAGCCCACTGTTTTGCTTATGGTGCCTGTCCATCTCATTGAGGGTCTTCCTCTCATTTGCTGGTCCTCTGCTTCTCGCAGCATGATGTCTTTTTCCAAGAACTGGCCCCTCCTGACAACATTCCTGAAGTATAAAAGAGGAAATTCAACATCTTTACCTGTAAGCAGCACCCTGTTGACTCCTGCTTGTAGACAGATTTGTTTGTCCTTTTGGTAGTCCATGGGGTATTCAACACTCTTCACTAACCCCACAAGTCAAAGGCACCAATCCTTACAGTGCAAGTGAAAAAAGTACGTGACTCACTTTTTTGGTGGCATCTGATTTTTTTGTGACAGACTAAAACCCAGTCTTCAGTATCTCTGAGGTATGCCTGTAATTACAAGAGAAATGGCAAAGGCTTGGTAACAGACCCTCAAATTTTGAGTGCCAAGGAGAGGGAAGTGCCAAAGAAGGCTGCCAGGCTCTACGCCAGGACAGCAGGAAGATGGCACCATCCAGATACAAATATAGCTGGAGTTACAGAGAACAGTGGTTCTGAAAAGATTTAAATTACCAACAATTTCATTTTACTTTGATCCAAAATCACCGCTCATGGTAACAGCAGTCAAGAAATCAAAAGACATGCTTGCCTTGGGGAAAAATTTGCTGTCAAGGATTGCTCGAAAATTCTAAAGAGAAGGTTGTCAGTTTAAAGACTAAGGTACACCTGATCTAAGTCATGGTCTCTTCAAGTACTTGCTATGCATCTGAAAGTTGGACAGTAAATAAGGATGATAGAAGAAGCACCACCATTGAGCTGTGATGTTGGAGAAGAATGCTGAATACCCCATGAACTGCCAGAAGTGTAAACAAGTCTTAGGGGGAAAGTGCAACCAGGCTGTTCTTTAGAGGCAAGGGTAGTGAAACTTCACTCATATACAATGGGCAAGTCGTCAGGAGGGCCCAGTGGAGTTAGACTTGAAATATGGATGGAAATTCGGAGGGCAGGGAAGGAGTTTCTTTTGCAGAAGATGAGTTAAGATCAAAGTGAGAATATTAAAAATCCCCAGATGTTTGGAGGCACAACAGATTTGAGAGAGAAAGCAAAACAAGACATCTGAATTTGGTAACCGACTCTGGAGGCTTGTTCGTTGAAACCATGGGTATGTGTGACCTCTCAGGAGAAAGACATCATCATCGAAAGACAGACACTGACCCCAACACAGCATCAAGGAACCAGGACCAGAGCAATACACCAAGGAAGTCAGAGAGGGCCCTGTCAGAGCAACAGGAAGGCAGCCACCGTGAGGCACTGAGAGGGCGACACCATGAAAGACCTTGGGGAGGCACGTCTGAGGAGATGTCTGCATTTGGAACTCATTGGTGATCTTTTATTTTAAGAAATTAAAAACATTTTCATTTTTTTCTTATTAAAATGTTCATTTATAAATTCATCAATTGTTCATTGAGTATCTAGACCCAGCCACTGAAGTGCTCTTACTTAGATGCTGTGGGTGCAGGGGAACCTGAGAAAAGATATATTCTGCACTCATGGAACCCATGTTCTATTAGGGATGAGAAATCAAGGACCTGGATCATTATAGATGGTAACAAGCTCTTCTGGAAAACAGAACAAGATAATGGAGTAGAAAGTGTCTGAGGCATATCCTTTAGACTGGTGATGTAGGGAAGGTCTCTCTGAAGAAGTGATGTCAGATCTGAGATCTGAAGGGTAAAAATTAGCAAAGTTGTGGGGAGAAACAGGCCAGGCAAAGGAAGTAGAATGTGCAAATACCAGGTGGGAGTGAATTTAGCACTTGTGAGGGAGAAGTGAGAACTTGTTGTTAGTTGCCATGAAATTAGCTCCAACTCACAGAGAGTCTTACTTGGATCCACAATCAACACCCTTGTTGCCAGCAGTCAGGAGATCAGGAGACGTACTGGGCAACTCTCTCTCCAAGTTATTGCAGAGCAATGATATCAGCTTGAAGAGTAAGGTGCACCTTATTTAGTCCATGATCTTTTCTGTCACTAGCTATATATGTCTGAGAGCTGGACGAAAGAAGAATGTTGTTGAAGTCTTTGAGCAGTCATGTTGGAGAAGAGTACTGAGCATTTCATGGACTGCCAAAAAAACAAACAGATATGTTTTAGAGAAGGTACAGCCAGAATGCTTCTTAGAGGCAAGGATGACAAATCGTCTCACATACTTTGGGCACGTTACTAGAAGAGGCTATCCCTGGGAGCAGGACATCATGCTTGGAAAGGTAGAGGGGTCAGTGAAAGAGAGGAAGACTCTCTATGAGATGAATTGACACAGTGACTGGAGCAATGGGTTCAACTTGAGTCAGAGGTAATGAGGATGGCACAAGACAGGACAGGGTTCCGATCTCTTGTTTACAGGGTAACTATGAGTCAGTCATACTCGACTCGGCAGCACCTAGCAACAGCAAGAACATAGAGGGTCCGAGATAAAGACCCTCAAAGAGATGGCTTGGTACAGTGACTGCACCAGTGGGCTCCAGCACAAGAGCCGTGATGAGGATGATGCAGGATCAAGCATCTGCTGTACGTGAGGTCACCGTAAGTTGGGGCCAGCAACTACTAGCAAGGACAGGACAACCTCACGAATAACAGAATAAGCATTGCTGGTCCTGCACCATCTTCATGATCTTCGACTGAGTCCTTTGATGCAGCTAGGAGTTGACCATCTCACGGAGGATTTCCCTTGTTTTGTTGACCCTCTGCTTGGCCAAGCATGACTTCCTTCTCCATCAGTTGTCGATCTTTCCTGATGCTGAGTTCAAAACAAGCAAGCCAGAGTCTCACCATCCTCGCTTTCTGAGGAGCACTCCGGTTTTACTCCTCCTCCATGAAAATCTTGGCGCGTGCAGTACCATACGTATTATTTCTACCATCTTCCTATCCATCTCCCAAGATCACATTGTTCCATTTCCTTGTTCTTCTAGCTCATGATGGAGGAGCGAATCCTGCTGCAACAGCAGACGATAAAGAGCCTCCAGGAAGAGCAAGAGTCGCAGAAACACGGGTTTGAGAAGGAAATTGTGGAATACAAGGAGCAAATCAAGCAGCACTCCCAGACGATTGTGAGTCTCGAGGAAAGACTCCAAGCAGTGACGCAACAGCACAGAAAAATAGAAGGCGAGATTGCAGCTTTGAAGGACAATGACCCAGGTACACCCTACGAGACTCCTCGGAGCTCTTCCTGTTAGAAGGAGGGTTCTGAGTACCCTGCGGGGCCCAGGAAGCTGATGACTAAGAAAAGGGCTCACCTCATTTCAAAGGAGAGCCCCTTTTAACTTCTCATTGCACCACAATGCTAAACGCCCTCCCAGGCCCAGGTTAAACAGAAGTAATGACTTGTGACGTGTTTTGTGCAGACCCAGTGAGCCAGCAAGATGTGTAGGCTGCCAGGGCTTTTAGGGGTGTGGAGGGTGGCGTGAAGTGGGGCCATCTTTTCCACATGAAAACCTCCCTGCTGGTACCATTCAAAGGCTCCTCTGTGCCATCAGCAATTTGTGACTTTGCCTAATGCATCTTCATTACCAGTCAGGGCTTGTAGCTTCAGAAATAGCCCCAGTGGAGCTGAAGAGCGAACTCACCATTGTGGGCGCTTACTCACCCTAAAGAACCAAGACGATGCATTAGTGCAAAGATACTGAGCTCTCGGAAGAAAGTTCTGGAAGCAAAAGCCCTGCTGTCCTCAGCATTAGTGACATTTTGGTGCAGATAATCTTTGCACTGTAGGATGTTTAACAACATCCTTGGTCTCTGTGTACTAGATGTCTGTGCCAGCTGTCAGTGGTGGCCATCAAAAGTGTATCTGGGCTTTATGAAGTCTCCTGGGGGTAAGTTCACGTCTTGGTTGGGAACGACAGCCGCAGTCTTGAGTCCAGTTGGTGAGCTGTCAGGAGTTGCCTCAGGTATTCACTCATTCCTAACTTTCAAATGAGCATCTGTTATGATCCAAGCTCATGCTAGCCACAGAGGCTTCAGCGCTGGGCATAATTCCTGCAGCTAATAGAATTATCACCCTTATAAGCAACCTGTGTGATAACGGGGGAAACAGTGCACCATCGCAAAAGCTCTCTGTTTCCTAACTCGGGGTTCAGGTAAGAGGGAGAAAGTTTAAACTGGGACCCAAAGGGCAGTTTTGTCACCCAGCACTTACCATGAAGAAACCTCCTGGGTTTGTTGAAAGAATGAATGGAGGTGTGCTCATGCATGCACAGGAAGTGGAACAGGAAAGAGCTTAGAATGTTGACTTTCAAGACTCCTGTCTGGACAAAAAAATAGAACAGAAGGGGAGTTGTTGTTACGTACCATCGAGTCTGAACCAACTAGCAGGTTGACCCTCTAGCAGCTTTTCAAAAGCAGTTAATTACACAGGAGGAGAATGCCCATCTTTCTCCGGCGGAGTATTTAGGGGAGTTGAACCACAGGCCTTTGAGTTGGCAGCACAATTCCTTACCACTTCAGCCAACTGTAGGACAGAGGCTTTGGCATCTGAACCCTGCATCTGTCTTGCACCATCTTAGCTGGTTCACAGAAGGTTCCAACCCATCTGTACCTTTTCCCCCAACTATAAACAAGTTACTACTCCCTGCCCGGAAAGGTTGGTTGTATGATCATCTCCATGGAGAGAGCTTCAGTCTATGGCACAGAATGTATTGTCGGTCTCATAGTAGCGAAAGCTAAGGGTGTAGGACAGTTGGAAAAGTTGCCAGTGTGTTTATAAGCAATGGGAAGGGCAGCTCTGTAAACACCGTATTAACCCTAACACGTCCCTCAGACACAGCTCAACCGGAGGAAACACCGCCAGACCCTTCCGTGGCACCCCCTCCGGAGAGCAGTCCCAAAGAGGATGAGTGCAACCACTTGATGTGAGTACCCTGTGTGGGCACAGACACGTCCTCACTGGTCTGTCAAAGGAGTAAGAATGTACAAACAGAAGTGAGGATGAGGGGGGCTTAATCATAGGGTCACACAAATTAATGAGTGAAGAGTGGGATGGGCTAAGGAAACGGGAAAGATCTGGTTTGACAAACAATGTAAACAAACTTTGTAAGTAAACCAGTATAAAATTTTAAAAACTTTTTTAAAAAGAATGAACAAACTAAAATCTCCACTTCTGACCTTGTCTTCAGGGCTAGAAAAAAGGAATTGACTTTGGGGTCTTCCCACTGTTCCTTGAATGTTTTGATTCCTTTAGCAAGTCAGGAAGGCTCTTGATAAATTGACACTCTAGCAGAATCGAGGGCAGATGTACATCCAAATTCCAACTCCAACACTCTATTCTATTTGGTAAACCTGGACAAATTTACAGTCACCTTTATATAAATAAATATAGCTGGCTTTATACAAATTATAGTCACTTTAGCTGCCTCATTTCTAAAATGTGAATATTCAGATGGTAATGCTTGGCATGCAGAAAGGACTGGATGCCAAGAAAGCGGTCAAGTGCCTGTCCAATGCAATGGCTATTACAGCTACGGTTCCTGGGTACTTTGTCTTAGTTAGCTAGTCCTGCTTTAACAGGCTCCAAAAACGAAGTTGATTCTCTTACAGTTTGGAACTCCAAATTCAGGACGGCAGGTCTAGAGGGAGGTTCTCCCTGTGTGTCAGTTCTGGAGGAAAGTCCTTGTCTCCTTCAGCACCTGTGGGACTGATGATCCTTGGAGGTTTCCATGTGCCTTGGCGTCACCCAATGTCAAGGAGCGTCCTTCCACAGAGTCTCAGTCCAGAAGGACACACTTCACTCCTGGAAGTTCTTTCTTGTACCACTGAGGTCCCCCCTTTCAGCCCAGGTTCCTCCTCTTTTATCTCTTATGAGACAAAAGCCATTCCCCAGGTCACACTCTGGACAAACTCCCCTTACATCAGATCAAGGCTGCCTTGCATTCTACCTTTATTCCTTTTTCACCTAGTTGGTTTGTCAGGTCATGGATTAACTTCCATGTTATGTCATTATATACATGTATTGGAGTGGAGGGACGAGACACAATGACATTCTGATAGAAGCAAGCCTATTCCTCGCCATGAAAAGCAGATGGTGGGGTGTTCAAAACTCAGAGACTGGCTCGGTGGCATGGGATTTTGCAAAGGAAACCCCAGCATCAGATAAAACGTTGTATTAAATTACCTTTAAGACCGCTTCCAACTCTGAGAGTTAATAAGTTGATACCTTGAGCCTCAAATAACTGACAGTTTGCATAAAAAACAAAACCACTCCAAAACAGCCTATGAACAAGAAAGTCCTAATGCAATGCAGAGGAAATGTTCAGTAAGCATCTTGGTGAAGACAAACCACCAGGCTGACTCTTGCATTAAATCTTTTGCCACAAGTGCTTGGTCCTCAAAAAGGCAAGGCTTTCAGCCTCCATTCCAGCCTGTATTTTGGGAAGTTGCCAACTGACTCATTCTCTTGGTAGAAGAGCTCTCTCTAAAAACATAGCATCTATGGCCTGATGAAGAACTACAACACATTGACCTTCTCTGGTCTCCTTTCTTATACACAGAGTGCTGAAGTTTCATACTCAAGTTAGAAGAGTACTAGCCAAGGAGATAAGATAGAGAGACAGAGATGATAGATAGATAGATAGATAGATAGATAGATAGATTGATAGATAGATTGATAGATAGATAATAATAATAATAGAGAATTGGTAGGTAGATAGATAGATAACTGGTAGATAGCTGATGGATGGATGGATAGATAGATGATAGATAGATAGATAGATAGATAGATAGATAGATAGATAGATAGATAGATAGACAGACAGACAGATATATATATGTAGCTGCCTAGATGTGAATGGCTAGAAAGACAGACGAATGGCTGGATGCATGGGTGGACGGATAGATGAACAGGCAAAATAGATACATACACACATACATATATTTTTATTTCCATTACAATTATCACCAGTGTTCCATACTGAGATTCAGTCCACCAATATTTTGCTTTATTTCATAGTAATACACATTCTGCCCTCCAAAGTCAGTACAAGGAGAGCTGAGCCTGAATTTCAAAAGCCTGTGAACTCAAATGGAGTGACATTAACATATGCCCAAAGCCCGAGGCTCTTCGTACCCTTCTAACCCTCTCTCTCAACACAGACACACACACACACACACATAAAATGTCTTGCTCAGGGCTGAGGTTTCTCACACTTGCTCCAAACCATATCTCTGTGTTCTTTGAATTTAACCCCCGTCCACACACCTCTCTGTGCTATTAATTTAGGGCCCTCTTCCCATGGACCACTGGGCACAGCTGTCCTCTCAGTGACCCACCCACCCTGAGTTTCGTGGTGCTGATGGTACCCTGCTGACTGGGACGTGATGAGATAGATGGTGGAAGAAGCTTTCCCCTTCTCACCATCCCTGTGTTCCACTGGGTTCTCTGAGCCCCAAAGCCCGCACTCAGTCTTTATGACACTCTTCTTTTGACTTCTAGCCCCACCCCTCTCCATCAGGAATCTACCAAGTCAGAGAATGGAGTCCCCAGGTGGTGCATATGGCTAATGCATTCAGCCACTAATTGAAAATGTGGAGACTCACGTCAAACCAGAGGCACATGAGAAATATTATACTCTTACAGAGTATAAGTCTACTCTGACGTATCATGAGTTTAATTCAACTCATTTGTGATTGATTTTGACTAGTGAGGAAAGGGAAGACATATTATCCTCCACTTTCTTTTTTCTCATGCTCAAAAGATCCCTGAATAACAACCACACACACACACACACAAAATAAAAGAAAATAAGTCTTCCTTTGTCCTTTAGCCAAAGATAAAAAGTCCACCAGTATATATCGCTCATCCCTTTAGATTCCAGAGCAGTAAGGAGTGTTGCCCTCATACAAGTCATATTTAAACCTGGGACCAAACACAGCTGGACTCTTCTGTTCCATCTGTTGCATTTTTAAAGTGGTCACTTAGTGGTGAATTGATTGAACTCTTGGCATCTGCGAGCCAGTTAGAGAATAGTGTTCCTGAGGTGTCTCTGGGTGGGCTCAAACCAGTCAAATAAATGCACCAGGCATTTGCAACCTGAAGGTACGTCAAAATGGGAGATTGCTCTGAGAATTACTGAAGACCTCTGACCTCGCCCCCCTGTGACTGACTGACAGGCGTGGGCCATCGCTAAGGCTCCCTTCATTTAGTTCTTGGCCCCTGGCCACATGCTCAGCAAAACCACAAAGGTGACATTCCATTGACACTGCCTGTCTTTGTGCATTTCAGAGAAGATTTATTGAATGCTCAGAAGGAAATCCTGTCCCAGCAAGAGGTCATCGTGCGGTTGAGGAAAGACCTGACCGAAGCCCACTGCCGGATGTCAGATCTCAGGGGTTGGTGCCATTCCCATGTCTCTTTCACAGCCTTGCTCAGTCCTTCAAGACAGGGAAGGAGTGAGCCTTCAGAGTTGGAAATGCTGCCAATTCAGAATCCTAGTCGGCCTGTTTCCCAGTGCAGCTGCAATGCTTGTCATTCAGGGTCAGCAATCCACAAGGCCAAGGGGCCATGGGAGTTCTCCAGAGGATTGGAGATGAAGCTTTGGGTTTTGGCCAGAATCTCCTTTTACCCCCAAGGACTGGCTTCTGGAGGGCAACCCTGTGCATAGGAGCAGGGCAACGTGTGCAAGCTTTGTGCACAGAGGCTCAGGGACCAATAGCAAAGTGCCTCCTCTAGACCACCCCTGCCTCTGATATAGATGAAGACAGTAACAATACCTGCATCCTAGAATGAGGGGACATCAAGTGTGACCTGGAGCTGGGGTGAAAAAACTGTTTCTGGATAGACACAAACAACTCTGGCTTAGCATCACCACTTTGCCTTTCTTCTATTTTTGTTGCTGACTCCCTTTTTTCCTTCCTTTTACCATTCGTCTTTCCCACCCTTTGTCTCCTATCAAGCCAAAAGTCATAGGAAGTCCTCAAGGGATGAAAAGTACTGGCTTTATGGAGGTGAGGGTGAGAGAGAAAAAGAGAAAAGCTCTCTTGATTGGCCTCCATCTCAAACCCCATGCATCCAAACCTTCAAAGTTTTTTTTTATTTTCTTCCCTGTGGCTATTCCTGTCAATATTCTCAAGATAGTTATAGCTCAACTTTTCCAAGGGTGATTTTTTTAGTTCTAAGGTATGACTCAAACCATGGTATTTTCAGTTGTTTCACATGCTTGTGAAACTTGGACGATGAATAATGAAGATCAAAGAATTGATGGGTTTGAATTGAGCTGTTAGTGAGGAGTAATGAATATACCAGGGACTGCCCAAAGGATGTACAACTCTGTCTTAGAAGAAGGGCAGCACGGGAGTTCCTTAGAGGTGGAGATGGTGAGGCTCCATCTCCCATACTTGGGGCATGTTGTCAGGAAGCATGTTCCAGTCCCTGGAAAAGGACATTATTCTTCAAAAGGTCAGTGAAAGAGAGGAAGACCCTCAACGAGGTGGATTAACACGGTGACTACAACCATGGCCTTACACACTGCAGAGCTTGTGAGGATGGTGCAGGAACGGGCAAGGTCTCTATCTGTGTTCACGGGGTCCGTGTAATTTTTTTGTCCATAGGGTCGCTGTAAACTACAGTTAACTCATTAGCACCTAACAACAATATGGACGTAAACCCCTCAGCAGAGAACCCAGCCCACAGGATCTCCCGGGCTGCCTGTGCCACACGAACTTAACTGTGAGCCTAGAGCTTCTGATTATTTGAGGTGGTGCAGGTGGCCCTCTTTAGTTTCCCTCAGAAGCAGACCCTGAGAGCACAATTCCAGGGCAGTTTATTTGAAAGGTAAGTCCCCGAATTACCCCTGTAAGAGTAAGGAAGTGAACTAGAAAAGAGAGAAAGTACGTGAACAGTGTGTTCGTGTGAGGCTACCTCAGTGAGCAGCTCCGAGGTGGAGGGGAGAAGTGTGGTGCATGCGCTCCCCAGGGTCACACCTGAGGGGCCGGGGAGCCGGGAGTGTATACCCCAAGTTCCATTAGCCGCCCGTGGGAGGGTGTACCTAGCAGATACATAAGCACAACAAGGTCCTGAGGCCTTTGTTGTTATGTGTCACCAAGTCAGTTCTGATTCACAGCAGCCCTATATTGCTACGGGAAGAAGCATTGCCCGTCCTATGCTAGCCTCTTAGGGACCTCTGGTGTCCTAGTGATAAGAAGTTACACTTGTAACCCTAAGGCACGTGATTGGTATAGACCAATTGCTCCACAGGAGAAAGATGGACAGTCTCCTCCCCTGCGATTTACAGCCTCTGAAAACCCCGTGGAGGGTCAGCTGGGAGTTGGTTCACACTATGGTACGCAAGTGTCACGAGGTGTCATGCTCATAATCACGACTGTGTTCGAGCCCACTGTGAGCATCTTCCTTTTTTATGACATTACCAAACACGGTGTCCCTCTCCGAGGTATGTAAAACAAAAGTCTTGCCATTCTAAGGAGCAGTCTGGCTGCACTTCTTCCAGAACCAGAAGGATTTGGTAAACTTGATGTTTCCTGGGCCTGACAACACCTGCTGTAGCAGGTGAGGCAGGAGCACCCCATGCCTGGCAGAATTGGCTCCCACAAAGAGGTCATGGCTGTGAGCAGTGTTGCTGTTAGCAGAGGCACACGCAGATCTCTTGGCTGTCCCTAGAGCCCCTGAGAATTCCTGCAGGCAGACCCATCTCACAGTCCTCATAGGCCTGGCAGATCCGCTGCGATGGCCCTAGCAGTCACTCAGGGCAGGAGGCCCCTCACCAGCTTTCATTTCGCTCCCAGGGGAGCTCAACGAGAAGCAGAAGATAGAACTCGAGCGGAATGTGGTGCTGGTCGAGCGGCAGAACAACGAGCTGAGCGAGCTCAAGGAGAAGATAGCGCAGATGACCAACCTGGTGGAAAGAAAGGACAGGGAGCTGGAGATCCTCAAGGAGGCGCTCAAGTGCGTCGAAAGGTGCGTGCAGCATGGGGAGCCCAGGAGAACCCATGTGGTCAGGGAGCCTCACCAGAGGGGCACAGCCAGTGCTGGCTGGGCAGGTGGATGCATGGATGGATGGATGGATGGATGGATGGATGGATGGATGGATGGATGGATGGATGGATGGATGGATGGATGGATGATGGATGGGCTGTGTTTCATTGATCCACAGTTAAAACAGAGCTTTGCTTAGTTCTGTGTTTCTCAAACACAACCCCACCTCCATCCCACTCAATATCTCCATTTAAATGACACTTCTTCCCGGAAGCCCTCCCTCACCCACCCTCACCAGACATAACCAAGGCCTTCTGCTCTGCCTGGGGTCCCCTCGGCCCCTGCACGCTGCTAATGGAGCCCTCATTGCACTGGGATGTGACTGTTGCCTGTTCAGTTGCCCTCATAAGGGCACGATGTGCCTTGAACTCCCCAGTACAAAAAGGAATCTTAATAACTTTGCCGTCCAATCAATACCTAAGAAATATATGTAGTTTTGCATCTTTGTGTTTATTAGGGACAAACTGTGGCTTAGCCATATTGTAAGTTGAGAGCGGCATTTGTGTAAACTTGATGTTTTCTGTGTATCCTATAGCTCCTTGGATCTCATGGCCATGGCCAAGGCCAATATGCACAGTGGTTAAAGAACAGGCTACAATACACTGACAAAGGAGATTAATCAGAACTGGCTTTGACAAGCACCGTGCTAACAGGACAATTAAAACAGACATTCGGGGGCGGGGAAGAAGAATGAACTGGGGAGGAGGGTAGAGAAAACAGTGCAACAATGAATGAATGAGAACCCAAAATCTCTGTAAATGTTCATTAAAACTAATAAAATTTAATAATAATTTAAAAAAAAAAAAAAAGAACAGGCTACAGATCCAAACTGCCTGGGTTCTGAGCTGGACTCTTCCATTTCCGAGTTCTGTGACTTTGTGCCAACAGCACCCCAGTTTGAGCAATTGATGAGTTAGCACATATAAAGAGTTAAAAATGGCGAATATACAGTAGGTGCCTCAGTGACTATGTGGACAAGTGTCCTTAGGCCCAGGGTAGGAAGCAAAGGCTGGGGCCACAGCTCTGACTGCTACTCTCTGCTGTTAGGTGCCAATGAGTTTCTTTTCTATTCATAGCAACTCCTATCTGACAAAGTAGAACTGCCCATAGGCTTCTCAAGGCTGTAATCTCTGGGAGGACAGATCTCCAGCCATTCTTCCAAGGGTTGAACTTGAACAGTCAACTCTCCATGAGAAGCCAAATGTTGGCTGAGGTGTTGTGTCACAGAAACCAAAAAAATCTACTTTTATCAGTGAATGTGACTCCTCCTGACCCTCCATTTCTGAGACTGTAAATCTTCTTGGGTAGAGACTACTCATCTTTCTCTTATCAAGCACCTAGTGGATTCAAACCATTGACCTTTTCATTAGCCACCCAATACATTACACTCCACACCACCAGTGTTCCTTAATAGCCTTTAAAATAAAATCCTCTAGAACTCTGGTGCAGGAGACTTGAAGGCCCTGGGAGTCATTTGCCTAGGGCAACGGAGCTCCCATCCCTGCTCTGCCAGTGGGGGCAAAGGTAATTTTGTGGCTCTAGAACTTTGTGCTGTTGGCATCCTGCTGCCCTGTGACCCCCTCCTCTCTGCCCCAGGGCTTCCCAGGAGAAACACAAACTCCAGATGAGCCTGGAGAAGAACCAGAAGCCCAAGAACAAAGCCCAGATGTGTGACATCTCAGTGCAGATGGAACCAATCCACACAGATGTTTACTTGAGCAGCCAGGAGGTGAGTGGCCACCCAGTTCTAGGCACTTGGAAGGACATATGAAGAAAAAGCCCCATGGTGACTTTCTTTCCTTCTTAGAAATGTATGCTTTTACATATTCCTAAAGTGTTGTTTGATTAAATGAAACGTAAAACGTGAAAGCCGTGCCCCTGTCCTTGCAATCACTAAAAGGTACCTTGATAGGTGTCCCATCTTTTTAATGCCACGATCAGTACATGCGTCTACAGCCATGAATGTAGGTACAGAACACAGTTGGGTCCAGCATACCTGGGTTCAAATCCCAACTCCTTCACTTGGAGACTCTGTGACTTTGGAGAAGTTACTGTGCTTAGATTTCCTCATCTGGAAAGTGAAAGCCCCCACTTCATGGGGCTATCAAGAAATTAATTTTGCTTATATGCACACACAAATCTGTGTGTGTGTGTGTGTGTGTGTGTGTGTGTGTGTGTGTGTGTGTGTGTGTGTGTTTAATAAATAAAATAATGGAATCAAATTATATCTATTCTATAACTTTTTTTTCCACTCAGCATCACTTACAGGGTATCTTGTTAAGTCAGTCTAGAAAGATTTACCTCATTATTTTAAAAAGCTCCCTAGAATTTCAGTGTGTCCTGTTCATCCAGTCAGTCCCCCATCGATGAGCATTTGGAGTTCTTGTTTTGCACAATGCTGCAATTAATAGCCTCGTACATGTATAGAGCGGACTCCCAGATGTGAGTTTGCTGAGTTCAAAACATCCTGAAGTGTGCCTGATACAGCCCAGTTGCCTTCTCAAAAGAAAGGAATTTCATGGTGACCTCTGTATGTGAGTCTGCTCAGAGACTTTTGCATGCCCAGAAGTCCCAGGTCCCATTTAAACAGGGAATGTGTTTTTAAGTGAGAAGAGCCTTCATCATGAGGTCCTCAAAGCTGGCACCCTGTTCCTGTGGCTGCGGCTGTGATGTGCCCGATCATTATTCTCCGGCTAAGGGCAAGTGCAGTGGTCCCCCAAGGCCTGAGTGTCCTCACAGCCAGCGATTCCTTCCCCTTCCTGACTGAGTAGGAAAGCTTTGTGAGAGGGAAAGTAGGGTGTCTCAATAATCAGCTTTGGATTTTCTGTTGGAAGCAGGGCCAAATGTGTCAGCTTGCCTTCCTGCCTTCTGAAAGATGCCTTCCCCTGCCAAAAAATACAGACAGACGGACCTCAAACAGCTTGAAAGAAAGGGCTCCAAGGTCCCTGGAACACAAGAGTCTCTTTGTTGTCAGGGCAACCAGGGGAGTGGAAGCAGGAGGACTTACAACCTGAAGCTACCTAGGGCAGGGAGCCTGAGTCACTTGTTGGAATCTGAAGCCCTTAGCATAAGACCTAGCCTGTATTCCTTCATTCATTCAACAACTATTGAGTGTTTGTGGTTTATCAGGCCCTAGAGTCCCAGGATAGGGTAAATGGGTAAACTCTCCACTACTAACCAAAGGTTGGCAGTTCAAACCCTCCCAGAAATGCCTCAGAAGAAAGGTGTAATGATCGGCTTCCACAAAGTGCCAGCCATGAAAGCCTGTGGAGCATGGTTCTGCTCTGAAGTGTGGGGATTGCCATGGGTCAGAACTGATTTGACAGCTACAAAGCACGACCCTTCCTCTCATATACTTTGGGCATGGAGAGGGACATCATCCTTGGAAAGGAAGAGGGTCAGCGAAAGAGAGGAAGGCCCTCAACCAGGTGGATTGACATGGTGACTCCAGCAATGGGCTTGAGTGTGTCAGAGATTGTGAGGATGACACAGGAGAGGACAGGGTTCAGATCTGTTGTTCACAGGGTCACTATGAGTCATACTTGCCTCAATTCAATAGCACCTGACAACAACAACGGTTTGCTCTGGTGACATAATCCATAGGGAATCACACTGCTAACCTAACCCAAAGGCTGTTTCTGGTGGTTCTAATCCATCAGTGGCTCCACAGAAGAAACTTGGACAGTTTCCTCCTGTCCAATTTACAGCCTCCAAACCCATTAGAGGATCAGCTAAGAGACAGTTCTGACTCGACAATGATATCTCTCTCTCTCTCTCTCTCTCTCTCTCTCTCTCTCTGTCTGTGTGTGTGTGTGTGTGTGTCCCGCTCATACCAGTTCCCTCTGAATGCTGCACATGTTGATTGAGATGGATTTTTTTAACTGGGAAGCTGTGAATTTTAGTCTTTATGTTGAGGGGTTGATTTCTGGGGAGATTGGAGGAGGGAGGCAGTAAGATAAAAGGAAGGGCAGGGAGAGGAGGGGAGAGATCTTTTCCTTCTCTGAATGGTTTTCCACACTCAGGCCACTTCCTGCTTTCCAAGCCAGGGTGGGTCAGAGGGCTTCAGAGTGTGTGAGAAAGAATCTCCATCATCTCCAAATAAATGGATTCCCAGAGCAGCCATGAGGAAGGGTCACGCTGAACTCAGGCACCCTCTTTAGCAGAGTTAAAGGCCAACGCTGAGTTTATCTGCTGTGTCTCCTCATTGCTGAAAACCCAGGAGCTCTGCCACTTCCTCACTTTGACAAACAGACACACGCACACACCCTCTCTCTCCAAACAAAATCTTATATTACCAGAACAAACCTACATCCTCAAACAGATGTGAGTAAATCCAGGGAAGCAGACTGACCATGCAGCCTGAAAGCTAGCGGTGCTGGATCCAAGGGCAAGCACAGCCAGGAGATGAGCACCTGTTTCTCTTGGGTGTTTAATACATATTTATGAAATGAATGGGTGAATAAATTAGTAACTTACCCCAGAGAAGCATTTTTATTTTTTATAAATCATTGAATGGTCTTCTAGGGGTCCTGGAACCTCCAGGAGTTGCATGTCACTGTTTCACTCTCTCTCCCCTCTCCCCATCTCCCCCTTCCCCTCCCCTCTCAGCCCTCTCCCTCTCTCTTCCTCCCCCCTCCCTCCTTCCCCTCTTCATCCTCCCCCTTTCCCGCTCCCCCTCCCCTCTCCCTCCTCTTCCTGCTTCTCCCTCTCCCCCCTCCTCTCCCTGTCTTCCCTCCCCCTCCCCCTCCTCCTCTCTCTCTTTCTCTCTCTATCTCTCTCTCTGAATTTTTCTAAAGGAAAAAAATCCCTTCATTCTTCTGAATCTCAGTGGGACACATGACCTTTAAAAGATGAAGAAGGCTCTGCTTTGTCTGTGTCCTTCATAAACCCCAGGCCGCCCAATCTGGTAGGCAGTAGCCACATGCAGCTGTTCTAAAGGAATTAACAATTCTGTTCTTCGTCTTCTCCAGCACCTTTCAGCTGCTTGGTGGACACACGTGGCTCACTCTCACTCTCACTCTCACTCTCACTCTCACTCTCACATAGAGTCAGTCTCAACTCATAGAAACCCTCCCTTGGGTTTCTGAAGCTGCAAATCATATCAGAAGATTTCCCATCTTTCTCCCTCAGAGTATCTGGTGGTTCTGAAACGCCAGAGATGCTCAGGCTCTGGGTAAGCCATGCACTCACTATTGGACGATGCTGCCTGGACCCTTTCACAAAAGCCTGCAGTACTCAATACTCTCAAGCGGTCAACCATCCACATACTAAGCTTCTTATTGATGCTATTGTGTACCATCGAGTCCCAGCTGGTCCTTCAGTGGGTTTTCAGAGGCAGCAAATTGCCTGGAAGGAGACTGCCCATATATCTTCCACAGAGCAGCTGATGGATTCAAACCATATGTCTTTGCATTTGCAGTGCAATTCCTTACCACTAAGCCAACAGAGTTCCCTTGCTCTACTTGTCTTCCAAGATCAGGCATATTCAGGGTGCTGTGACCTTAGCCCATGTGTGATGGTGATTGTTTGACACTATTGAGTCAAGTACGACTCACTGCAACCCTATGAATAACAGATCTGAATTCTGCCCTGTCCTGTGTGAGGACGACACTTGTGCTTAATGGCTGCCATATTGACTGGACAGTGCAGACCTTTTCTGTCACTGCAGAAAGTCCTGTTGGTCTTGACTGTTCTAGAAGCTCCAGAATACTCAATGACCCCCACTCTGTAAACCAGCCATCCTTGCTTCCAAGGAGCACGCTGGCTGGACTTCTTCCATAGGAGCAAGGGTGATGTGACTTGGTCTCACATACTTTGGGCCTGGTATCAGAATTGCTCAGAGAAGAGCACCTTTCTTAGAAAAGCAGAGTCCCATGTTTATTGCTGCTTTGTTCACAATAGCACAGAGTTGGAAAAAAACCATGTGCCCATCAACAAATGAATGGATAGAGAAGCTGTGTTATATTCTCACAATGGAATATTATGCAGCACTGAAAAACAAAGAACTCATGAAATATTCCAAAAAATGAGTGACCGTGGAGGACATTATGCTGAGTGAAATAGTCACAAAAAGACAAATACTGCATAGTTCCACTGTTATAAAATAGGACTGACATGGAGATTGGAGAGAAACTATGAAAAGAGGGCCTAAATAATGTGCATGGCATTGAAACAGATGAGGGAGAAAACTGTATAAAAGGAATATATGAGTAGGTATTATTGGCATGACAGGAGTCCAGAATAAGAGCTGCATAGTAAAGTGGTCTGGGGGAGGGGAACTTTATAACAACAAAATAACCTTTAAAAAAAAAGTGAAGTTGGGGGCAGGGAGGAAAATGTGCAACAATGAATGGATAGTAATCCAAGTTCTTTATAAACTTTCATTATAAACTTCCAAGGCTGGCAATTTCAATTAATTACTTTTTAATTAATTTTCAATTAGATAGAGATAGAGATAGATGATAGATAGATAGATAGATAGATAGATAGATAGATAGATAGATAGATAGATAGAGATAGATAGATAGACAGACAGACAAAAGCAGAGGGTCAGCAATAAAGAAGAAGATCCAAAGGATTAGCAGAGTGACTGTAGAATGGGCTTAAGCACAGCAGAGACTGTGGGACTCATACGTGATCAGGCACAATGTACATAGTGTCGTCACCTCACACAGAGTCACCATGAGTCCCAGGCAGCTCAGCGGCACCTGACGAGCCCAACCAAAACCCGGCTTATCAAGTTTCCCTAGAAAATATTGGGCAGCAATCCTTATTACCAGTTGAGAGAGAATGCCATGTGTTCACACCCACCCAAACTCCCCCTGAAGTAGAATTTGATGTGATTGTTCTGAGATGAGACCAGGGAAACAAAGGAAATCTAGGCTTAAAAGAATTACAGACATGAAAAATGAATGATGCATGGAGTGGGAACAAAGCAGGCATCTTTTATTTACAGTATTGGTGAGTAGGTAGGAAAGTTGGAAATATTCCTGGATGCAACGTTTTATTCGAGATGAAAATGTTAAGTTCCTTCTCTGCTGAACTTTCTTGTGATATTTTCAAAGGTACTAAGCCACAAAGCTTCTGCTACATATAAATCGTTCCCACTTCCTCGAATAGAGAAGCAATAATCTAGTCCCTAATAAAGCTGGTGTCTGGCTCATTCTGGCCACAGGAGCAATCCTTCAGTGATCTGGGAGCCAAGTGCAAAGGGTCCCGACATGAGGAAGTCATTCAGCGGCAGAGAAAGGCCTTATCTGAACTCCGAACACGAATTAAAGAACTCGAGAAGGCCTGCTCACCAAGTAAGTGTCCTCCTTCCAGTACCTCTCACCAAGACTCCATGATGATCAAAGTGGTTAAATGTTTAGCTGCTAACCAAAAGGTTGCCGGTTCAAACCCACCAGTAACTTCTTGAGAGAAAGCTACAGCACAGTTCTGCTATAAAGCAGAGTGCTTCTATAAAGGACTCTAGCCTTGGAAACAAACAAATGGGCCTGTAGACTTTCTATGAATTAGATTGGACTGGACGGCAATTGAGGTTCTTTGTTTCTTATTTTCTTTCTTGGTGCTCAGAGCAGTGGACACCAGAGGTTCCACTCTGGTGATTCACTTCGGGGACTGACAGGTTTGCCAAGACTCTCATCTTATATCCCCATTATGTAAGAGGAAGGACAGTATAATACGAGAGGGGGTGGGGGAGTGGGATGGGTAACCCATCACAAAATCAAGGACAATGAAACAAACATTCACAACATTGTCTTTATTTTGCCTGGTAGAAAGGATGTCATAGCACAACACTGTTTAGAAAATGACATTAGGGAACCTTTTTAAGTACCCTCAAGCACTTTGATGGCATGGTAAATAGGGAATTGTGCCTCTAACCGAAAGGTGGTGCCCCTCCGGTGGTTCAAATCCACCAGCCACTCCTCAGGAGAAAGAGTCTCTTCCCAGTCTCTTCCCAGGCGATTTACAGTCTCTAAAAACCCTCTGGAGGGTCTGCTATGAGTCAGTCTGATCTACAGCAGTGAGTAAGAGGGTGAGTTAGAGTACCCTGTTTGGAAGAGAAAAGTCCATGGGCGGCACAGACGTTTAAGCACAGGGCTGTTAACTGAAGGCTGGTGGGTGGAGGTCACACACAGAGACCTCAGAAGAATGGCCTGGTGCTGTTGCTCAAAGGTCCCGGCTATGAGAAGCCCACGGAGTACAGCTGTGATCTGCTGGTGGGGATGCCGGGAGCCGAATCAACTCGAAGGCGACTGGTTTTGCCTTTTCATTTTCTGGAAAGAAGTTATGATTGTGATATGAAAGAATTCCCTACTAAGCCTCGCTTTTGAGTCCAAATTATCTCTCTTGTAGATTGCAGTGACCAACTGGATGAATCAACGCAAGAACCAAAGCCTCTCCGGAAGGAAAAGAATGTCCAGAAAATATTCATGGACACAAAGCCTGATTTTTTAAGCAGGACTGTAAGTCACGTGGGACCCAACCCAAGAGGACAGATGCCAGTGATGTGCCTGGTATGGCTGCCCATACCAAGTGATGCAGGCCAGGTCCTCCCTGCGGGGCTGGAGTCTGTACTGACTGGTCAGTGCCCTCGCTGACCCCATTAGCTGACATTTGAATTCAAAGATGGTCTTCCATCTTACAAAACACCCACATGTCACATAGCTTTGACATTGAACTATGTCAATCACTAAAGCATTGTGGACCCTTCTTTTCATATCATACATTAAATGCTATAGAAAACTGCTCCACAGAGAAACTTAAAACATTAGACCATAAATTCCCTAAAGCTTTGATTTTCACTATAAACTGTAAAGCATGAACACATAACAGGTAGTTGGAGGGACCCAGGATTAAGAGAACATGGGTTCTAGAGAGAGGCAGGCAGGGAGACTCATATCCAAATCCCAACTCCACCAGCTGAGTGATCTTGGACAAGATTCCTAACCTTTCTGGGACTTCATGCTCCAAATGTGAAATGGTGATAAGAAAACTAGACCTCTGGTGGTCTAGCGGATAAGGAGTTGTGCTACCAACCCAAAAGCAAGAGGTTCACATCCACCGGATGCTCCTCAGGAGAAATTAAGACAGTCTATTCCTATGGGAATATACTACCTCTGATAACCCACAGAGGCTCAGCTATGAGTCTGTTCTGACTCGATGGCAATGGGTTTGAGTTTTTTTCTAGAAAGTGCTTAGTCCGGTAGCTAGCTCCTAGTTACATAAAAAGGATGGTTGGTATTATTAGATAATACCATTTGAATATTATTCTTTTGGGAAACTTTTTTAAAGGTATAGAGGGTTTTGTTGGTTGTTTTAATTTTTTTTAGTAAGTTTTTCTTTTATACTGGTTTGCTTACAAAGGGTGTACAGCTTTTTCTTTATCAGGATGTTCAGAAGGGACTCATTCTTAAGTTGAAGGTACCCTAAATTCCTAAGTAAGTACTTCATGGAGTATTTGTTCACATGTGACAATATAGGCTGCTCAGGTCATTCTTTTTTTTTTCTATATTTTATTAATTTTCATAAACATTTACAGAGATTTTGGGTTTCCATTCATTCATTGTTGCACTATTCTCTCTACCCTTCTCCCAGTTTGTTCT